CGAGAGCGAGCAGGAGGACGGAGATGACACTCCCTCCCAGTCACCAACCTCCTCGCGTTCACAATCGCCAGAAAGCGAAGGTGCCGCAGGTGCGAGCAGCCTTTTTAGCATCCCTCGCTTCCGGCGCGAATCTTTTACTCACTTCCTGGCCGCGATGCAACACGCAGGTTCCGACTTGACGATTCAGGTGCATCCACCGCCTGATTCGCCCCGTTCGCCGAATCCGCCCACGCCCAATCAACGTGATATTCATCTGCAGGCTTTCACTAGTTCTGCATCAACAGAAGGATCGGATGATGCGTCGGAAGCGAGATCTCCGACGTTCATGAGGCGCGATCCGCCAGCATATTCACCGTTGGATGCATTCACGTATGCGGAGGGTGTCCATATTGATTTACCAGCCGATGTGATCGCTGCAGCTCTAGAAGGCGGTAGTATTCCTCCTGGTGCAATTGGTCAGGGGAACAGCGAGCGGTCGGAGAGGCGTCGTAGCAGACGAGACAGACGGTGACATACGAGGTTTTATATGACTGGATTATGATGGTGAGTCCTAAGTGCTTTGATTCCGAATTTCATTTGAACGCGAATATTTCAGTATCATTTGCTGTGTAATGCTCTGTAAATTCGTTGCGTGTGTCGATCTTTGCTCTACATTTACTACCCACATATATCATGTATTGCGCATGGACGTTTCCCGCTTCCACCTTACAATTTAATTCGACACAACACTCAGAATCTGGGGGTGGGGCCACTTGGGATGTGATGATACAAATGTGGCGAACAGTAGATATCATTTATTTGTGTTAATCTATGTGTGTACCATTCGTGGATGTTCTAAGGTTCAAGGCGCTTGGGGTCTCTTGGGAAGAGGGAGGCGCGCCTGATGTTGTTCAGCTTCAAGAACAACATGAGTACCCGCTCAAGACCGATACCTCCTCCACCATGGGGAGGGCATCCCATACGGAATCCGTCGATATAGCCCTTCATGCTTTCAGGATCAACACCTTTTGCTCGCATTTGCTGGCAGAGGAACTCAGGGTCGTGGATACGCTGTGCCCCGGAAAGAATTTCCTCGCCACGCATGAAGAAGTCATAAGAGTTGGTAACGGTCTGTATGAAAAGAGTAAACGTCACACCAAAATGAATTCGACACGTTTACGTACCGGGTCATTAGGGTCAGGCATGGTATAGAACGGACGAAGCTCGAAGGGGAATTTATCGATGATGAAGTAGTCGGTATCATACTTGGCCTTCACGAGCCGTCCGAGTCTCTTCTCGTTCTCCGTGCTAACCCACAGATATCAGCGTATTTATCATCGATTTTTAAAAGCGCCCACTTGATATCATCCAAAATTTTGCGGTCAACGCCATCCTCGACGAGAAGGTCCACTGCTTCTCTAAACGTGAGAGTCAAGGTCTCGTCTCTCCATTTGAATTCATCCGCCTCGAATTGTTTACCAACTACTGCGATCTCTTTTGCATACTTCTCTTTCAAACCCTTGAAGATAGTCTTGAACATTCCGTCAAGGAGGTCTTTGACTTCGTGGTAGTGCTCTTCGATCGTCATCTCCAAATCAAGACCGATGAACTCAGTGAGATGTCGGTGGGTATTCGAGTCCTCAGCACGGAAGACCGGTCCGATCTCGTAGACTCGCTCAAAGTCAGCGGCGATAGCCATCTGCTTGGCCAGTTGAGGGGACTGCGCAAGGAACGCGCTACCTGGGATATGGTCAAGTTAATGATACAGACGAGTCAACGCAAGTAGCGGACCTTTGAAGTACCCAACCTTAAAGACGGATGCCCCTGATTCGGTAGCTGCTCCCATCAATTTCGGGCTGTGGATCTCGGTGAAGCCGTTGTTGTTGAGGTAGGCACGGAATAAGTCTCCAATGGCATGTTGAAGCTTGAAAATCGCTTGATTCGTTTGCGTCTACAGATCGAGTGAGCAAACGAACTGATCATCGAATAGAAAATGAAGCGAACACGGAGATCGACGATACGGTTGTTCAAGCGGGTCTCTAATAAAACTCTATTGAATTGCCCCTCGACTTCAGGGGCAGTTTCTGATCTGGATGCATCCTCAAGAGAAAATGGCAATCGACCTTCAACGCCTGCAACCAACCAGAGCTGATGGGGGATCAGAAGTAAAGTCAGGTGGGAAGATGAAATACATACTTCGCTGACGTGGATTTCAACGTCATCGATCGAGCAGCTTTTAATAGATTCTGGCGACTTTACTACTGTCCCATGAACGAGGACGATGCTCTCGTCAGGAAGACTAGCAGCCCATTTTACCATTTGTTTGCTGACTTGTTTATCATTGACAGCAAGCATCGCTTGGATTGTGTCAGTCCGTTGGCGAAGACTGAGAAACGCCATCTTGTTTGACTGAAGACGTGATGTTTGAATCCGAGCACGAAAAAGAACGTGTTCGGAATCATTCTTGGCGCTGAGAGTTGCAATATCAGTGCGCTTACGATTGGGGCGCGACTGGGATTGGTGCAGAGGAAGCTTTCCATAGTGCGCTGCTGCATAGTCCTACGATAATCGATGATCGGAAATCAACGCGACACACAAGAATATGGCAGCTAACTTACGGGAGCTTCTGCGGCTTCTCTGACTTGCTCAGCCTCCTTGGCCTTTGCAGCTTTCTCTGCCTTCTTTCGAGCTTTCTCTTCCTCCTTTGCCTTCTTTTTCAGAGCACTCTTAGTCAGACCTCCCTCGCCTTGCTCTTCTTGGTTTGGGCTGTCTGCTGAAGGCTCGAGGTTTGCCCTGAACCTACATAGTAAGAATACGGATCGGAACAAAACCAGTACTACCAACTTACTCGGATTCATTTGGGCCATCCAAGTTGTCTTTGTGTGGCCTGCAAGGATCTTTGAGTATCTATGCAACGCCACTAATTCCATTAGCTTACGGCGTTGGGGCCGAATCCTGGCTGTCAAGCGAATTAAGAATGATCAGCTCAGTCATTCACTAGAAAAAACACAGTACCTCGCTGGCATTTCGTTCACTTTGTCAGTCATGATGATGAGTCTACTGTCAGGTAGTCGAGTCAACCAAAATCAATCTTATCTCATTTTGTATGCGGTTGTTGTGACGCTCCAACTGTAACCCTATCATGAGGTTAGGTTTCAAATTGTTATTGCCAATGGGCCCCGGCAGTAGTCTAGACGGCGAGAATTTGACTGATGCTGACGGGCTCTTATACGACCTACTAATGCGCATTACTCTTCATTCCGGTGTTGCTAGAGGCTCCAAATGATCAACAGCACTGGTGTATGAGCCTAGCGTGGGTGGTTTCAGGTTGAACCCACGTTCTAATCGGCGCTCTACCGCCGAAATCGGCAAAGCTGACCGACCTCGCTATCATCACCATAAAAGTTTACTTTCCTTCGACAACCGCTCAAATCCTCTTTCTTTAACTCTCTCTCTGGTTTAATTTCAACCTTGGACTAATGCTGGCCATTAACGCTGTCCGTCGTGCGCCTGCCATTTTGCGTAGTGCTGCACCTCTTTCGACTTGGTCAGCTGTTCCAGCCGGCCCTCCAGACCCGATCCTTGGTAATAACTGGGTTGCCTGAAAACTGACAATATTGATTGATCCGTTCGTACAGGTATCACTGAGGCATTCAAAGCCGACAAGGACTCCCGCAGAATTAACCTTGGCGTCGGTGCATACAGAGATGAAGACGGCAAGCCGTACGTTTTGAACGCAGTCAAGAAGGTACGGGATAACAGTACATTTTCTCTGCAGACGCTAATAATGTATTCTCCGGAAGGCTGAAGAGAGGATTTCTGCTGCTAAGCTCGACAAGGAGTACCTCCCAATTACCGGGTTGCCTGGATTCACGAGCAACGCAGCTAAATTAGCGTATGGCGCTGATAGCGTCCCACGGAACCAAAATGCGGTGAGCGAGCTGTGGTTGAATCCCGGAAGTATGCTCATGATTTCTAACATCGCAACTTCTCAGATTGCTGTGACTCAGTCTATCTCTGGAACTGGTGCTCTCAGAATCGGTGGCACTTTCTTGGCAAGACACTACCCGCACTCCAAAACTATTTACGTTCCTACGCCCACATGGGGCAACCACATACCTCTTTTCAAGGATTCTGGCCTGGAGGTTAAATATTACAGGTACTTCGATAAGAAAACTGTCGGTCTGGACTTTGAGGGATTGAAGGAGGACTTGCAAGTATGACAACCCAATTCATATAATGTAGTATACATGTTGACATCGTTTTCAGAATGCTCCAGAAGGTTCCATCGTGTTGCTGCATGCTTGCGCACACAACCCTACAGGAGTTGACCCCACTCAGTCGCAGTGGAAAGATATTTCGGACATAATTGCCGAGAAGAAACATTTTCCCTTTTTCGACATGGCATACCAGGGCTTCGCTTCGGGCTCGACTGATCGCGACGCATTTGCTGTGCGATACTTTGTCTCGCAAGGTCACCAGATTGCTCTCTCACAATCGTTCGCAAAGAACATGGGTTTGTATGGAGAGCGTGTTGGTGCGTTCTCTCTTACGACCGCCAGTGAAGAGGAGAGGAAGCGGGTGGACAGTCAATTAAAGATTATTGTGCGCCCGATGTACTCGAACCCTCCCCTGCATGGTGCCCACATTGCCAACACGATTTTGTCGGACCCTGAACTTTACCAAGAATGGGAGGGCGAAGTCAAGGGAATGGCGGACCGCATTATCAACATGCGTGAACGCTTGTACCAGCTGTTGAGCAATGATTTCCGTACACCTGGGGAGTGGAGCCACGTAAAGAGCCAGATTGGCATGTTCAGGTTAGTGTACTACTATATATTACCCTTGCTGTTACAGACTGGTTTTCATTTTCAGCTTCACCGGACTTAATAAGGAGCAATGCAAGGTCCTTGCGGAGAAGGCGCACATTTATATGACTATGGACGGACGTATTTCGATGGCAGGATTGAATGGTAGGAACATCGAGTACTTCGCTAAGAGTGTGGATGCAGCTGTTAGAGGTGACTTGTAGAACTGCCGAGAAATAGATTTTCCTTTTTGGGTTGTGTTGATCCTCTTCGTACGTCCCGTGCTAAGTCCGAGGGCAATTGAATTCCAATTGAATTATATATTTTTCTCGAGGTGCGGTTTAACTCTTTCTGTGTTTGACTCTCATGTCCAGTCCTACAAAACTCATACCAGGTGCTTGGCTAGACAAAGCCATCTCCTCGTCTACCACTCCCTCCTTGGTACGTGATTCTTATAATCCGAAAGTAATTTCCGTTTGATTGAAGTTCTAAGTAGGGTCAGATCATTATACACAACGCTGACCAGGTCATCACTGCCTCGCCCAGGCAAGAGACCCCTGAAATGCCCACGACGAGTACAGCGTGTGACCGTCCCCTTAGCGTCATTGTGCCAACACCGGAGTTTATGCCACCATTAGCGTATTGCCCGTTCGGCACAGATTTTTTACTTCCCCCCCTGCCAGCCTCGTACATCGGCAAGAAATTTATGCCAGATGAGCTCGCAAGCTCTAGTATGCCATCTACGCCTGGTCTTGACCATACTCCATCTTCGAGTCACTTCTCATCCGATCCAAACAACATAACATCTCCTAGCAATTTCGCAACAATGCCCGTTACCCCCGAGGCACATGATAATCGCGACATTGCCACCATAAATACGTCTCCTTCAAAAATATCTCGTATAATTAAACCTCAGGCCACCATGACGCTGATGATGGGCAAACCGCCCACACTACCAGATAATCTATGGGTCTCTACTGGATCCAACTGGCTCAGCGATCTCGGTGGAAATACAGAGACAGACCGTATATTCCGCAATGCTCTCTTCGGTCCAATTCCTTCCCTGAGCCCTCCAAGTAGCCCTCTCACCTCGAGTGTCGCATCCCCCACTTCCTCCTTTCCCGCCACACTCTTACCAAGCATGTCCACATCCCTCAACAGTACTCCGATTTCGTCTCCTTCCGCACCGTCTTCTCTCAATTGTATGTCTTCAGCCTATTCACCAACTACAGCACGCCTGGCGTTGGCACCGACCTCGACTTCGGCCTTTCCATCTACCATTGATAGTTTTGAGCGATGGCGCGAAGGTGTCACAGTCCAGACGAATATACGAGAGAGCATGCCAGAGACTCCTTCTGCATATGATGACACAGGCTCTAGTGCGGAGCACACCGAACGCACGAGCCAGCCTCCGCCTGGCTTAAATCAGAAAGTGGCGAATACACATGCACCCCCTGCAATAAAGTCAAAAACGTTCATGCAGAAGGCCAAAAAAATCGGCGGACGCGTCAAACGCTTCGTGACGCGCGACAAAAGAAGTAGATGGAATGCCGTCATCGAAGCCAGCGCTTTTGATGTCACCACTCACACAGGAAGCGATGATGAGAGCATTGTAGTCATTTCCGCATGTCCTCCGTCATACGACACGCGTCTTTCTCCGCCTATCTCACCACAAAGTCCTGAACAACGCAGGAGGTCTATACCCATGCTCTCTCCGCATTATGTCCTCGTTAGAGAGCGTGCCTCAGCGATCGCTGAGGGTGTCGTTGAGGTACCCCGTACAGCGCTACCCGCGGACACGAGGGGACTTTCGGGGTCCATTGTTTCGAGGGTTCCTACTCGCCGTTTTTCTCTCGCAGCGTTCTCAAGTTTCGCATCGCTCAAACGACCATGAAAGGGAATCGTCAATTTATTTTTTATTCCATTGTATTTTGAGGATAGATGCATTGCAAGTCAATATTCCAGCTTTCCTATGGGCGAACATTTCTTCTAGATATTGTATTTCTTTTCTACATCATGGCTCTTGACTAGTGACCTAGCATGACCCTCGTCTTGAAATGCCTTCTTGATTTCGCATTCCATACTTGGATAGATAGTATGGCCATGTCTTGACATTAATGACCACATTACAATAGTTTTCAATGTAACATCATGTTCATATATACTCGATGTCGACGACGCCCTTGAGCGTGATCTCGAAGGAGCTGTCTGTTAATGATAGGCAACCTGGTTTTCGGCACCCGCAAAGACGATTTGGAGCATCACTCACGCCGATGACCGGGAGCCTCGAATCGAAGCAAAAGAAGAAACACATACACAACGGATTAAAATTCTCGCAACCCTACTCTGCAGCGAAATGAGGGTCATAACTTTCATCCGGATTCTTCGCTGATCATATTTCCGCCGTGGTCAGCTTCAAGTGCACAAATTTAGCTTCCAACTTGAGGGGTCGGATTACTCGGTTAGATGAAGAGCACATCGACTGATAATCAGTGCCAACGCTTCTTATTACACAAGAGGGACTTGGAATAAGAGTCGTGGGGAAGGGATATAAGAGGCGTTAGTAGTAAACGTATCGATTGGCGTCAGCGACTTGCTACGGTATTGCTGTCCTCTGGGCGAGATGCTGAGCTGCCCCAGTGGAAGACAGTGGTTCGGGACCTTAGGTATGATACAACCAGCAGGTGATGCTAGCCATGCGCTTACTACCCTTCGTCATTCACTTCCGATACTGATGTCAACCCTGTCTGTGCTCTTTTGGAAGAGCTCAGATGTCAGGTAGTACACTGCCGGGAAAAGTGGTCACGGAAGATACAGGCTAGGCTCGATAATCTGCGTTTTGTGCCGGCAAGGCGCTGGATACTACAGGACCATATTCAACACCCTTTGGCCTGTTTCTATCTTTGACAAGAGAACTAAACTCAACTTCATCCCCACTATTGTACTCGGACTGCAATGCATCATCCTAAGTGGCGACCAGTGAGTCATTGCATTTCTTGAATGGGCACTGCGATAGCAAATCGCAAAAGTTACATCCACGCGGTCATGTTCTGTTTAAAAGAAGAAAGCGAACAGCTTGAAGGTGATGATTACGAGTTTGTCGTCGAGTAAGTACGGTGAATATCATCTACCCAACTGGCGTTGGGACCACAGCACAAACCACTCCAGTGCATGGAATGCGCGAAATACTGTCCAGTAAATTAGATAATGGGGGCATGAAGGTCAGGAGAGGACATACAATAGAGATCACGAATCCTTCGGGCTCTCAATCATGAGCGGGGCCTTTGCCCCCGACCAGCTCCCTCCGCTCACGCGTTTCGCCGTCTCTGTTGCCAGCCTCTTAGTCTCCATTCTAAAACGCTTCATTATTGCAGAATAGCATGCTTTGCATGTATGATGTGCGAGCTTAGGCTCTCCGCAAGCTGGACAGTTGACGATATCTTCAGGACAGTCAGTCAGTCGAAGGGAGGAGGCAAATAAATAAAACTGAGGGCGTACTCCGTTTGTCTTTAAGTCCTTTATTTGCACTGCGCATTGACTTTCGCGAATGAGAAATTTTACTCTTTGGAACCGCGAGGACGATGGGAGGGAGCAGTTCGAGTAGGGACTGCAAGCCTGGCAAAGCCCAACTGAATGACTTTTGCCGTAGCTCCAAATTGGCAGCTAGAGAAGCAGCAAGTGGCAGCTGCGCCCATGACGATCTGAACGTAGATATTAACGAGCGCGTTTGGTGTAGAGCTAATGAGGCCATGACGGTGTAGGAGAAATTTTGTAACTTCAAGTTTTGATGACTTCTCGATTTGCACTCCGAATTCAGACAGAATCAAACACTCTTGCTAAACAGCAACCGTCATGTTCAGATTTACGCGTCCGTTGCTGCAACAAGTCACTAAGAAGACGACTGGTATCGTCGGTCTTGCTGTCCACCAAAATCCGCTTCCAGAACTCTCCAACACTTATAACTCGACGCTCAACGTCCTTGCTTCAATACCGCCGACCTCCGTCTACAGACAGGGCGTCGAGGCACTCACCAAACACAAACTCAACATTGTACAGGGAGCAAATGGAGATATTGCAAGTGTAGAGAAGCAGCTGGATGAAGGGCAAATCGAGGAGTCGCTGGATATTGCTAAAGATGAGCTGAAGTTGGCTGAGAATATGCTTGAATGGAAGGCGTGCGTTTTGAAATTTAGCATATCTTTCTGCGCTTATTGACTTTATTCTTCAGCTGGGAGCCTCTAGAAGAGAAGCCACTACCTGGTCAATGGGAGTACTTTGGCAATACATCGAGCCCGACATCTTCGTAGTGTCATTCAATAGCTCGGGATTTGTCGGGGGCAATATCATACTGCCGGACCAGGTCCACTACTAGTCATGGAGGGAGCTTTCGCAAAATAGATTGATGACATTCATCCAGACATATTTAAAACATGCCACTGCGTGACTCGACTGATTCTTCTATCTGGTCTAACTTGTCAAAGGTTTCCGAAACACTACCGCATATTCTTTGAGAACTATCACAAACTACTGCGTTGTATCTGGGGCCCACAAATGTCTTCTTCTTCTTGCGTCCCGGGAACACCTTGGTCTGATATAACCTGATTCGCTTCGTCAGTGTATTACTCAGACTTCCACCTGCGCATACACCTACCTTGCCATTTGCGATCTGGATGTCCTCCATGCCCCAGTCCCTGGACGCACCTTCCTTCAGGTGGCTCCCTGAAGCCAAAGCCTTGGCCTCCCAAGCTCCCAATACACCCGAAGAGTCTGGTTTACGAGAAAACTCAGAGATTGAGCAACAACCAACTCTTAAAGGGAGATCTGGTTGTCCTAGCAGCGCCCGACACATCACGATGACAGTCGCAGCATGACTGACTAGAAGAATGTTCTTATGCTTGACGCCAAAGCGCTTTTCTATCTCTGTAACGAGCAAATCTAATACACCGTTGGCGCGCTCATGCAAGACTTCGACGTCTTCGCCTCTTCGTGTGGGATACCAGATTGAGGACCATGAGGGGTCGATCTCTGAGAAGTATGTTTGCATGACTGCAGCGGATGATGGCCTAGGGTGCAAGCCAGTGCCAGGAGCGACAGGGGAATACCATTCAGACAATCCTGACCGACTATAAGCTGATGTATGTTGCTACTTAGATTTGCCCACCGTGTTCGACATAGATGGGTACTTCAAGAGCTTGGGAGGTCGGCTTGGATGTTTGCAGACACCGATCTAAGGTAGTCTTAGTCCGAGAAGACCGAAAAGTAGTATGCTCACAGTAAGGCGAAGATAATATGATGGTGGGGCGCTTTTCTTCGGGAATAGCTAGAAAGTAGGTTGCAAGTTCCTGTGCTTGAGCCTAAGAATCATGCATGAGTTGATGATCCCTGCCAACGGTCCGATGGTACCTCTCCGTAAGCGGCCAAGGGAGGATCTCTTGGAAGACCCGTAGGACTCTTCCTGTAGTATCTGTATGTTAAATTGCAATTTGACCTGATCTTCATCAGCTTACCAGTTAGTGTTGATCCAGTTCAATCTGAACCCTAAGACTTGGTGAATACCAGATAGAACAATCAAGAGATGCACTGACCATGTCTAGCGAGGTAGATCGTCTCAATCATATTCTAGCGGGTGTACTCGAGAGCTGATTCGGCGAGTACATCTTCATAGATACTAGCCCCGAAGCTGGACCGAAACAGAACCGAAACAAAAAGTCAAAGATCGAAAAAATTCGCTGACAGCAGGATTTGAACCTACGCGGGCAATGCCCAAGTGATGATGTGAATTCAAATCACTCGCCTTAACGACTCGGCCATATCAGCTTGTATTTCGCTAGTAAGGTAAACGTAATAACCTCGCCATCCCCAAGGATATCAAGAACACCAAATCTCGACTTCTAACTTTTGGTCTCTCCTTACATCTCGAAGTACTTATTCGCTGCTCGGGAGCAGCATTAACTGCATTTCATGGATTCTTTAATCCCATTCACGACATCGGGATCACTGGTAGATTGCGTGGACAGTACGTCTACACAGTCAACTGCACGGCAACCATTCGACCTGAAGCCTCCATGATCACTTTACCCCCCCAATTATAATATGCACTCTTTCGTCCATCCCAGGAAAGATGTTGGTCGTCCTCAGAGACGGACGAAAATTACACGGTGTACTACGCTCTTATGATCAATTCGGTGAGTTCGTTTTTGTCAAGCATACGATAGGTTCGCTGACTTCCCCAACTCGCCCGCTTTTTCAGCTAACCTCGTCCTCGAAGACACCGTCGAGCGAATATTTCATGGTAAAGCATTCGCAGAACACTGGCACGGCCTCTTTCTCATACGCGGAGAGAATGTCGTGTTGCTTGGCGAAATTGTACGTATTCGAGCGCCGTGCGGTAGGTGCATTTACGTTGTTGATGCCCTTTCGCAGGATCTCGATCAGGAGGATGATGTTCCGTTACAACAAGTGGACTATTCCGTTCTTGATCCATATCATAAGAGGGATATCGCACATAAAAAGGCACGCGAAGACTTCAAATCCAAGGTCTTATATGAGCAGAAAGGGTTCTGTAAGGAGGGTGGTGAGGGCGATGGCTATTGATGGACTATCGTACTAGTACTGTTTATTCATTCCTCATGCATACCGCCTATGGGCGTATTCGTTTATTGAGTTGATCTAGCATAAATGTGCGGTATCACTGGGTAAAGGCCAAAGCTACAAAAAACAAAAACACCATTATCAAGAACTGTGAAAAAGCGATATAGGACGTCAAATACTCTGACAACAAACAAGAAAAGATGTATTAGAAATACAGTGCGTGGATTAAGATTTCTTCTTCTTTCCCTTTTCTACAGCCTCCCCGTTAACCCGAGGTTTGCTAGCGCCGTTAAGTGGCGTATCTGGAAGTGAGGGCTTGGACGGCACCTGAGAGGCATTCGTTGTTGGTGGGTATAAAATGTCTTCGATTCCTTTCCTTATTTCCCGTTCGCGAGTGGTGAGAGTGGAGAGGATCGTTTCCTTCGTTTCCTTATCGAAAGCAACCTCGGCAACGCGTAGTTTTTGCCACCTAAATCACAATCAGATCCGTCACGTCAAGATCCATGAAATCAGTGCTCACCCTGCATGTCGCTCGCACTTTTTCTTCCCCGTACACCACCATTCCCCATGACTCGTCGTGACACCATCCACCTGCATGACGTCATCTGATGCTTCCTCCTTTGCCTTCTCCTCGTAGCTCTCCAACACCTCTGCACCAAAATCATCCCACTCCTCTTCACCAAAACAAAGCCTCTGATCCCACCCACATTCATCCACGCTTTCCGCGCGCTCAGAAGCAAGTTTCACCAATTTTTCCCTCCACAGCACCATATCCATCTCACGCTTCATCATCTCCCGCTCCCTCACTACATTTTCAAGGCGCAAATTCAAGCATGCAATTTCACGATCCGCCTTGCGCTTCTGTGCAGAAATAGGCGTAGGTGTTGGCTTACTGTCGATCTCCATCTTCACGTCTGCACAGACGACGACGCCCTCACGCTTTTCTGCGTTCTTGACGCTTTCCCATAGCTTGTCGCGTTTGCCACCGCTACGCTCCCATTGCGAAATGCGCATCTGCATGTACTTGATGCCGCATTCGTCGGAACAATACTTGGAAAATGCACCTCGAGAGGGTTTGTGGCACGCATGCGACGACAACGGATCTGTATGCTTCAACCCGAAAAAGCAGCGGCGCTTATACGTTGTTTGAAGGTGCAAGTGAGGGTTAGCTGCAAACGCATCCAAGGAATGAACAAGTTGGATCTTTGCATGGAGTGATGACCCACTTTGAATGCACACCGGGCAGATGAACTGATCCACAAGATCGACCTCAAGCTCGGGCATGTTGACGCACTGCGTATGATACCATTCGTCACAGCTACACCACAATTCCATTAGCTCTGCTTTTGAAAAATAGAATAAGGAACACACACCGATCGCATGCAATCATGACTCGATCTTCATCGTATCGTGTTTTGCACACGCAGTACAGCTTATCATCCTCCCTTTCGCTGTCCTCGTCTTCCGGCTCCTCCTTTGTGTCGACAGGCATGACAGACGCAGATCGTGACCGTGAGGCCGCAGCATGCTTCGCAAAGAGACTATTCTTAAGAACATCTTTCGGCGTAGGTTCCTTGGCTTTTATCTTTGCAGGAGGTTTTGCGCGCCCTTTTGGTGGAGGCTTGGGTTTCGGAGGGGGCTATAACACAAAAATGAGTCATCTGAAAACTGCAAAATGAAATAAGATATCACCTTGGGAGCAGCCATCCCTTTCTTCTTCCCGGATTTTGCTGACTCAGCCTTCTTTTTGGTAGGCGCTGCAGGAGGAGGAGGCATGAGCTCATCATCTGGAGGAGATGGGCGTTGTGGAGAAGGCGAAGGTTTGGGTTTTGGACGCGAAGCTTTGTGATGTGATGATGGGCGATCCTCGATAAGACTCAGGAGCTCTTCGTCTACATCCATAGAAGAAGGCTCAGGCTTGTGTTTGGGAGAGTGGAAGGGACAAACAGGAGATACACGGGTGGAAGACGGGTATAAAGGGGATTGTGGGCCTTCCGTAGCGGAGGATGCAGTGGCGTGGATGGGAGAAGGAAGGCGCGCCTCCTGCTCCTCCACCTTACTTGGTTGAGGAGGCGGGAGCGACGGAGAATGTACCTTTGTCTTACCACGATACATTGGAGGCAAGTTACGTTCTGCACTATCCTCGCATGCCGGGGGCGAAGCTTGGATAGCCGGGGAGCCGGATGTAGAGGCAGGTATAGATGGCTGTGGCTGTTCGTCGTCGCCTTCCACAGTATACGGACTCGTGTCGATATCTTCATCCTGCTGGAGTTCGTCCAAATGCATCTGCTCAAGCTGCTGTCGGCGCTCAAGCTCCTGCTGCTGTTGAAGCGCGAGTTCTTCTTGCTGTCGTCGCAGAGCTTCTGAACGCTGTTTCCACTGGAGTTCCTCTCGTTGGCGCTGTTCCTGTTCCTCTCGTTGACGCTGTTCCTGTTCCTCTCGTTGACGCTGTTCCTCCGCCAATCGTTGGCGGTCAAGCTCCTCCCGCTGCTCACGTTCGAGGGCTTCCCGTTCCTTGCGTTCAGCCTCTTCGGCCAGTCGTAATCGCTCGGCTGCTTCTCGTTGCTGGCGTTCAAGTTCCTCCAATTGCCTGCGTTCGAGCTCTGCACGCTGGCGTTCGGTCTCCTCCTTCTGCCTACGTTCAGCCTCTTCTCGCCGAGCCTGTAGTTCGAGCTCCTCGAGACGCTTGAGTTCAAGGTCTTCCCGTTCCTTCCTCTCGGCTTGTTCACGCAGCTTGCGTGCACGATCTTCTTCCTCCCGGATCTTGCGTGCTTCTTCTCTCTGCTTGAGCAAAGCCTCCTCTCGCTGCCGATGCAACATGACCTCGCGCTGCATCCGCTCGAGCTCTTCTTGTCGTTTCTGCTCTTCATCCCGGCGGCGCTGTTCACGCTCGACGCGTTGGCGATGCTCAAGCTCAGCACGCACAGCTTCTGCGCGCTCGGCCTCTGCACGTTGACGTAGCTCAGCTTCTGCACGTTGACGTAGCTCAGCTTCTGCACGCTGACGTAGTTCAGCCTCTGCAACACGTCGTCGCTGGGCATCTTCCTCCTTGCGTCGGCGCTCAGCCTCCTCTTCCTGGCGTCGGCGCTCAGCCTCCTCTTCCTGGCGTCGGCGCTCAATCTCCTCTTCCTGGCGTCTGCGTTCAGCTTCTTCTTCGTGTCGTCTGCGCTCAAGCTCCTCTTCTACCCTCCGTTTCTCGAGCTCTTCTTGATAACGTCGCTTCTCGATTTCCTCCTCCTGCCGCTTTCGGATGAGTTCTTCACGCTGACGCTGCTCGGCTTCTGCACGAATGCGTTCGATCTCAGCCTTGGCCTTCAGCTGGGCCTCTTCTTCCTCGCGCCTCCTCGCCTCTGCCTCCTTCTGCCTCAAAGCCATTTCCTCCCGACGGCGTTGCTCCTGACGTACTCTTATCTCCTCTACTTGCCGAGCAGCAGCCTCTTCTTGCTGTCGAAGAAGTTCCTCGCCCTGCCGACGCTCAAGTTCTTGACGCTGCAACTCCCGTTCTATCTCCTGCCTTCTCTGCTCCTCTTGTTGACGCAACAGTTCCTGATCGCGCTGCCTCAGCAGTTGTTCGCGATATCGAGGGTCCATATCGTCTGGGTGGAGGAGGGGATCGCGCGTAGGATGGAGAGAGGTATCGCGTTTGGGACGATGTAGAGATGATTGGCGACGTGAGGATCTGTCCCGATGTTGGGAGTCTTCCCGGGGAGAATGATGCAATGTGTCTCTCCGCCCGCGCATATCTTCTACTTTCCATGCAGCGGCTTCTTCCTGTGCGCGAAGAAGACTCTCACCCTGCCAACGCTCAAGCTCTTGTTGCCGAAGGATCTCTTCGCGCTGTCTGAGAATGATATCATTTGGATGACGCTGACGGAGGTCGAGTTCCTGACGTTGGCGGATCTCGAGTTGGCGGAAGTCTAGCTGGCGGTGGTCGAGCTCTTGTCTGTGCCGAAGCTCGTAGTCTTCTCTATCATGCTGGCGCTCCTGCCTGAGGGGTTCCTCGCGCCTTCTGATATCGTCGACTTCCTCTTCATCCCATATTGCCCTGCCAAGACGAGGAACGTCGGAGCGCATTGCGGCATATACGATAGGTGACATTCGGGTAGGAACGACAGGGGAATGACGTGCTATTGTGGGGGAACGATGTAGAGGTGGCTGATAGTGTGGAGGTGTTATTCCTGGACCTGACAAGGGTACATTGGATGGAGAAGATAAATGTGGAATTCCAGGGCCTGTGAGACTTGAGCTGAGAGCGTTCGTTGTTGGACTTGGGTTTGGAGCTGAGTGTTGTGATGGAGTTGGAGAGCGAGATTCTTTTATTCTCTTATGTGGACGAGGTGAGTCGTCTGTGATGTAGAATGGATAAGGGCGTGGCGGGGGTAAGCTGACTGGACTTGTACTTGATTCACTTGTTGATGAACCTGCGCTTATGCGCCTTCGTTCCTCTGATGCAGCATGAACGAGAGCGTCAAGACTTGTTCGAGGATGTGACATTGACTGTGTAGGATTAAGAGATAAAGGGTGTGATAAAAGAGGAACACTGACGAAAGGCGAACGAACTGGATTTAAGAGAGCATTTACTGAAGAATGAGAATGAGAAGAATCTGGACGTGGTGAGGGATGGTGTAGTAGGGCATCGATAGTTCTTGGTGGCATGTTGGGCGAAGTTAATTCTGGTATGTAATTATGAGTTGGGCCCTGTAGTGCGTGTTTACCACGAAGATGTGGGGCTAGAATAACAGGTTGATAGATTAATGGTGAAGACGACGACGACGACTGTTGCTGGTCGTTGTTGTTGTTGTTGTGGTCGTCGTCGCAGAGGAGCGATGATATGTCCATTCGTCTTGCAGCCATGACATTGAAGAAAGAGAAAGAACTCGTGAGAGACTCTTGAACATGCTTGTTTACGAGAGTTTAATTGAACTACTACGGACATCAAAGCTTGTACAACGAGACATTGCGAATATCGTCCAAACGGCGACCAAGAATAGTCTCCACTACGAACGCACCGCACCCAAGTCCCATCATAAAAAATCACTCTTCAGCCCATTTATGACGGTCTCAAGGTCATAGTTCTACAACCATCCAAAAAAAGGCGGGTAAAACTCGTCGAGATGCTTTTGAAGGCTATGATATTTTTTTTTAGTTAGCTGAAGAACCATTCGTCTTTTCATGAAACTCACCTGTGTTTTTTTAAGCGTAACACTTTGAATTCGAAACAGACTGGTTTTTATACGTTGCACGTGTCATAAACTGTACAGTGGCTTGAAAGGACCCCAGTTCCTGTTTACGGGGTCATCACAACTAGCACTCTAATCTCATCCCTCACTCTGACAGATCCTTAAAAAACCGGCCATGTCGGTGGCCACAAGAAACCCTTTTGCACTCTTGGACGGCAGGTTTTGATTTTATCGTTTCATCCTGTTGCTTACTTTCTTATACTCACAGAGGACAGGCCATCTACTCCTCCCCCTTCAGCAGAGCCTGCCACACCAGCACCAGCTCCACAATCACAACAAACTCGTACTCGTGGACGCGGAGGCCCTGCAGCTCGTGGCGGTAGATACTACCAGCGTGGAGGCGCTGCACCATCTGCTGCCCCTCCAACTGATGATCAACCAGCTCCAGAGCCAAAACCAAGGCGATGTGAGTACTTTCTTTCTTTTAGATCCATATCTCATAAACAAAAGTCGATGGCGAGCGCAAAGAAGGCCGTGGAAGAGGTCGCGGTCGTGGTGGTGATCGTGGCGGCCGTGGCCGTCCATTTGACAGGCACAGTCAAACCGGTAAAACGCAAGTCCCCCCCCCTCTCCCTTGTTCTTCACCCTATCCTCACCTTTTCACCCAGCGACTCTGACAAAAAAGTCCACAACTCTTGGGGTGGCGATGATGGAGAGACAGAACGCAAAACGGAGGAAGCCGCTACAAATGACGCTTTAGTAGAGAACGCTGCTAGCGGCCTAAATGACTGGGCTGCTCCAGCTGACGCCCCTGCAAACGACTGGGCTGCCTCTGCAGACGCTCCTCCTGCAGATGACTGGGCTGCTCCTTCCGCAGCAGAAGGTACCGAAAAGCCTCAATCAGGCGAAAAGCGTGAAAGGCGCGGTGACAGAGAGGAAGAAGAAGACAACACTCTCACTCTCGACCAGTACCTCGCACAACAGCGCGAGAAGGAAAATGCACTCGTCCCAAAGTTGGATGTCAGGAAGCCCAATGATGGCGCAGATGATGATATCTTTAAGGGCGCTGCACCCTTGCAGAAGGACGATTTGGAGTATTTCGCTGGAAAGGTACCTCTTTGCTATACCTGTTAATCGTACCTTACACATCTCCACCAGGCCAAATCTGCCCCAAAGGCTCGCACCAAGAAAGATGAAAAAGTCTTCATCGAGATCGAAGCTCGCTTCGAACGTCCAAGCCGTGGCGGCCGTGGTGGCCGTGGTGGAGACAGGGGTGGCGGAGAGCGGAGCCGTGGCGAAAGGGGTCGTGGCCGTGGGGGACGCGGTCGCGGTGGCGCGAACGGTCATTCCGTTCCAGGTGCATCTGCCATCAATGTGGACGACGAGACCGCATTCCCCTCACTCTCATAGGCGTATAATAGGCTCCCCCAAGGTTGCAGAATAGCTCGATTGATGGTTTGATTTAATGTGTACTGACTGGAACTGACACCGATGCTGATTACACCCGCTCGTATACATATCATTTTCTCCGATTCGTTTTGTCTGTTTTTTTTGTCTTTGTTCCTCTCCATCTGTCTTTTTCGAGGTTCATGCAATATTATTTTTGCCATGATGCAAATGTTTGATGTGATCAGAAATTTCCCCGCAATCTCAGTCCCACACACGTTATCGTGCGTCCAATGAAAAAATCAGCTCTCATCGCACACAATCAATTTCCACCCGAAATCAGCCGATGAGCTATAAAACCTCCCACTCATTCCATCCACACCTCACGCCCCATTCTAGTCTCACAGACGCGTTATGGTCGTCTGGGAGAACTTCCTCAGGGCTGAGATCGACTCGTAGCGCGTAGTGTCTAGCTGTGTTTTCCTATCATCAGGTAGACTACGGGTCAGCAATCTGGACCCAGCGCTAGACACCCGTATCTGTAGTCAGACATAGTTCATCAACGGTGTTGTTATATATCACGATCGCATTGTGCCCGATCCCTCTAAAAAGTGACATACGCACTCGCATAACTCACGCTCCAATCATCAAACGAGACACACCGATTGCTCTGCTCATATCGCACCCATTTCATTCTCGCCTGCTTGCCTTTCTCCTCCAGCGCACCGAGCGCACCCATCAATACTCCGATGGGGTGTCGTCCGCAAATCGTATTATGCGTGCGCTCCAGGTACGCTACGAATTTGGCGTGTGCGGCAGACGCAGGTTGTTGGGTGAGGATATCCATCGCTTCGTGGTCTAGATCTGAAATGGACGCGTGGATGGGTCGGGAGGGTGATGGGCGCGGACCGCTACGGCGTAGATGAACACCTGGGACATTGCTAGGGATCGTCTCGGGATAATAGAATGTGTATCCATAGTGCGAGTGACCCCTATGTATCGCACCCCACCATCAAACACATGTCAATGAATTAACAACACCAAAACACACCAATGACAAAAATCAGAAGAGATAACAAAGAGCGTATCATCCCTCTCAAGGTACGGCGCTAATATCTTCCCATACTCTTCCTCCTGCTCCTGATCGATAGCACCCACCATGATCGGCACGATCTTGATATCATCGATGGACCTGCGAACCAAGCTCGAAACGAAATAGGGAAAGGATGGATGGGGAACAGCTTACCCCTCAAACACTTTGTATACATAGGGCAGGTGCATCTCGATACTGTGCTCGCCTTGGTCCCTGCGTGGTTGGAGGTACTCGAATCGTTTGGTCTTGTAGAGTTCTTCGATGACTTGGATCTGGGGTCAGATTTGGGTGGCTGTTTGTTCGCGCAGGATGTACCTTCTCTGTCTAATGCGAGGTTCCCTAGTGGAGTCTCGTACGTCTCGCATTTCGAGAGTGCGCATCCACCCAGATAAAACGCGTGCGATGGGCCTAGGATGAATACTCGGGAGCTGCACGGTAGTGCATCTCATCAAGGATATTGTTTGGGAGTGAAGCACTCACATTCCAGTAGTCGATATGCTCTTGTACGCCCAGGCAGCTGCAGGGCCAGAGTAGGAGTAACCAGCGTGGCTAGTAGATCTGACTGAGGAACAAAGAAGAGCCAGGAGTGAGAACATACGGAGCGATGATCGCTTTGCAGCCTGCCACGGGCGGTGCAAAGTCGTCCTCATCAGTAGGCTTGACGTTAGCCAACCAGTTCGAGAGCTCTGTGTCAAGGGTGTCGCCTGTTGTTTGAAAGAAGACATGCAGTATTCAAGTAGATGATTTGGCAGAGCAACGAACCATCGGCTGAATACCACAACTTGGTAGCAAATACAGCTGGTCTGTTGGAGGTGCTGGTTAGCTACGAGCGTATACGACGAGCATTTTCATGCCTGGATTTAAGAGACATGCTGGGTGGTTCAGTTAAAAGTGATAGCCAGTGCCAATTTCCTTTGAATCAATGAGCGATGTGATCGTGTGCCTCATTAGGCAATCTCAGGTTATCAGCAGCAGGTGACAGAAATAGCACAATATCCTCATGTGACCGATCTTACACGGATTGATGATACATCATTCAGCCTGAAGCATGCTTGCATGTCGAGATTATCTCCAGCATATGAAATGGATACATGAGAATGGCGTGAAATGAGAAACGACAACAACAAATCACTCTTCTGACCGCAGCCGTGCTGCAGAGTTCGTCACCTTCACTCCAAGAACTTTTGCTCTAAAAGCAACACGTATCAGAATCTTAAAGAGCACAAGACTCAGAAGTAATCAACACTTACCGCTCGAGGATGATAGTGCGGTTGCGGCTGCTGACGTTGTGTGCGATCTCGGCCGCGTAGCTTTTGTTGTGCATTAGGAGAAGGTCAATCTCCTTTACATTGCTGATGAGGAACTTCTTAAGACCGTTGGGGAGAAGGTGACGGGTCTAGTACAAAACATGAGCATGAACATCTAGCAGCGCAGGAGCATCCATACCTTCTTGTTGCTCCCGTAACCAATCTTAGGCATGGGGAGCTGGCCCTTGAACCGACGCCTCACTCTGTTGTCAATACCCTTGGGTTTCCGCCATGCTTCCTTGACACTGTGGTAACGGTCAGACTGGTGGCGCCTGTGTTGCAGAAAGTGAGTCCTAGGTTTATGAAGATATGCTGCTGCTTCATACGCACTTGAAATGCTTGGTGCGCTTCTTGACGATGGGGATCTTGATGGCCATGACGGTCTGAAAGGAGTGGTTAGTGCTTGACTTTCAGTGAACATCCCGGATTCCAGGGTGACCACATCAACGCATCCGAGTATGAATCCATCCATCCGTCGACTTGTTTTGACTCAAACTCTCCAGAATCGAATATTATCGACATCGGACTGTGATATGGACTCGTTTGACACTAGCATAAAGAGACTCACCCGTGAGTTTTGGATTTGTGGAACGACGGCTTACTTGTCCACTGGTTTCTGCCCACTGGTGTGAGCTCCAAATAGAACCAAACAATGCAGTGGCTGTGTTTACCAATGCCACACACACCTGTCTTATGGACTTATCCATCTCCTACTCTCTCGAGCTCTTAGTCTCAGAGCTGTAATCAACGACTTCAGTTCACACCCTGTCCGCGTAATATAGAAAAGGAACGATTGTTTTACTTCCGTCACGTCTAGGGAGTCGGAGACCACTACATTTCCTGATTCCCTAGTCCAAAATAGAAGGAATGTGTTCTTTCTCTATGGTGACAATTCCTCGTGCACGAGCAAGTCACATGAAGAACGTTGCTTACACCGGATGGTGCTGTGTGTGAGAGGTCGAATCTTTCCTGCCAGTGTGTATAGCTATCCTGTTCTCACGTATCTAATAACGCGCACCGGTACCGCTGCACAGCAGATGATCGTAGACAAGTTTGGTGGCACATTCTGACGGGCGTCCCATGGAGTGCAAGAATACCTGGAGGGCGATAATTGTTTTCTTTATTCAGGTCAACGAATATGGACAGCTCCAATTCTGTGTGTGTATAAACAAGTTGAAAGTGGCCCTGAGCGTTGGTTCCGGCGCTCGGACATATCCTGTGCGTCACAATGCAGGAAATCAGCTAGAGTTTACCGCTTGCATCGGTAGCGGCAATGAGTCCCGGCTATGTTTGATGAATTCAATGCAAAGGCAGAACTCATGTGGTGGAGTGTGTTCGGTACGCCATATTTCTGCTGGTAGATTGTCACTTCTGGCCTCGGCGACACTCACGTCAAGTACCAGCAACTTTGATCACTAAATGTACTAGTACAATAATAGACGTAAGTGACATGGTGGGGTAGCTTGGACCTCTGGGGGAGAAGCGTGAGAACAATGCCGGTCTAATATCTTAGTGGCGGGCGGATGACAACTCCTCCGCCGTGCCATATTAAAGAGAAGTGATTCGGGCGCTCACTTTGTTCTCATCCTTGCATATTTCCTTTCCGCCTTGCGTCTTGCAAGGGCCTACTGGTGCATAGTTTCATGCTCGCCGCAACCCCCATCGATTTTACTTTCGATGAAGATGATCATTGGCTATCCACAGCTCCCCCTTTGCTGTGCAGGTCGACAAGTGTCGGAAGTAGCTGGGGAGTCACATCGATAGGTCGCGGCTTTGACTGGTCTACGAAAGATGAAGAAGAAGTTGAAGTCACATCGCAGTCTAAATGTGCATTGGAGAAAAAACTTCCCCAGGATCTCCCAAAGCTTGAAGACTCTAAGTCCGCAATGACCACCCGACCGTCTCTACTGATGTCTCCAGTCTCTGTTCGTTTGCTTTCCGAAAATCAAGCAACTTCTTGTGCTCGTGAACCATTGATGTTGTCCCCATCTACATCTGCTCCCAACCTAACGGACTCTCCGATATCTGTCTCTCCGTCTCATTCGCTATCGCGCTTGTCCTTGCATTCGACGACCTCACTTCTATCTGAAACACATCATCCCCCACTTTCCCGTTCCCCTACCATGTCACGGCCTCGCAGGAGATCTTCACAGCAGCGGGTGTCGCTCATCGCAGGTCGCGTTATGATAGCCCCAATAGAACCGCCTTCACCGCCTCCTACGATGCCAAAGATTCTACATCGGTCAGGAAGTACAGGAAGTATACTGTCTTCCGTTGCGAGCACCTGCCCTCCGACTCCCGCTCGTAAAGCTTCCTCATTACCTGATAGCAAGACCATATCAGACTTTTTTATCGAAGGTGAGATCGGTCGAGGCGCGTATGGCCTCGTCAAAAGAGCACGCGAATACAAAACAGATGGATCCCTTGGGGTGAGGTTTTATCCACTAGACTTCTACTTTGATTCTTGCGGTCTGACAATGGGACAAGCCACCATTGGTCTTGAAACAAATAATCAAGTCTCGCATCCTTGCTGACTGTTGGAAACGACATCCACGGTTTGGCACGATACCAATAGAAATATTCGTCATGTCTGTTATATCATCAACGTCGTACACCTTACCCGCAGTAAGGCCATGGGATCCATCACGACGTCGGTCTCCCGCTAGAACCGACGGGGACGCGACACGTTTTCAGCCAGATTGTATTCACATGGACAGCGATGAAAGGTGGGAAGAAGGAAAAGAAATCGAGGGACATCCAAATATCTGCCCTCTGATAGATTTCTTCGAAGACAACCATTATTACTATCTTGTCCTACCGTCTTCCACGCCTGAAAAGACGTCCGATGAGCCTCCTCCGACAGATCTATTTGATCTTGTCGAGGCTTGCCCCCAGGGACTTTTGCCATTTGATATTCGCAGCTATCTCGGACAGCTTGCAGATGCTCTATGTTTCTTGCACTCTCATGGAATAGGTTAGTAGTCCATCTCCAAGATCTCTTGGCGATATACTGATTCATTGTCAGTTCATCGAGATGTAAAGGATGAGAACGTTGTCCTAGGACCAAATGGCAAATGCGTTTTAATAGACTTCGGAAGTTCGGGACTTGTGAAGAAGAACGGATGGGACACATTCAGTGGGACGTAAGTTTTCTCCATACTCGTGCCTTTTACTTGTCGATGCAGTTGCTTACCCAATAAAGATTGGATTATGCAGGCCCTGAAATCCTGCGTGGGGAGCGATATCACGGGAAGGAGCAGGATGTATGGGCATTTGGTGTTGTGGCATACGTCCTTCTCGTAGGAGAATGCCCTTTCGTTACGGCAGCTGACGCCCAAGAGGGTTTGGCCTCGCCGTTTGCGAACGCATCTATTGCGCTGGATGAGCGGTGTGGCGATGATAAGGAGAAAGATGGAGAAGAGGAGGATGGAGGTGGGGCAGTAGGGGATGCTGCAGCCCTCGTCAGGGCTTGCTTGCAAGTGGAAGTGAGTGCAAGACCTACGTTTGAGAACATTCTGCAGTGTCGATTTTTGAACGGGGGAAAGGGTTGGGGGATGGAGCTGCCCTTCGGTAATTATCAACACCTATCTCCACAACCGAGCGCGTTTCCAGCACGTGTCACATAATCGAAGGCAATGAGGCAGGTATCTTGTCCATCAGACTCTTACTGATCCTTATGAGGATCCGTTCATCCTATCTTTGCTCTGTCGGACCTCCTTTTATGTCGTTTTTTTCATCTCAAACCATCAAATCTCACCGTATCAGCATCGATCTGCCATGAGGCCCCATAATATTGATCTGTTTCAACTAGCTAGCGCGCATTGCTATCGATAGGGTGTACTAGTAGCACATCGTAACCCTCCCTATAGACTAATCATATCTGCGAATGTATTAAACGATGCGATCGAGGCGTTCGAGTCTGTTTGAGTCTGCCTCAGGGGAATCAGTGTCAAGATGACTCGGCCAGTCCGGCGCCACGCGGCCGGTGCCGAGCGGAGTCACGGCGGCATATCAAATCACCAGATTGATAAAAATTTTCCTTTGGGAAGGTATAACTATCAGCGAAATCATCAGGCTCTCTCTTTCTTTCGTACCACCACATCCCATTCCTCTGTTTTTTTCTCTCTTTCTGTACACTTAAGTGAGTCTTTTTTTCTTTTCTGATCTTTCAAAAGATCCTGGTTACTAGCGCAATACATGCCCTGATGTCCTTATCATCATCGCGATGCCATTCTGCGATCTTTGCATCACCTGGTCTCCGATTTCTATGATCACTGCCAATCCACCTTTCTGAAAGATCAATCACTAACGATCGCTTCATCGGACAGAAATCCTTCAAAATGGGAAAGGAAAAGACTCACGTTAACGTTGTCGGTGCGTACCTCATCATCTACATCTAGCTCACCGATCTGATCCATCGCAGTCATCGGTCACGTCGATTCTGGTAAATCTACTACCACTGGTCACTTGATCTACAAGTGCGGTGGTATCGACAAGCGTACTATCGAAAAGTTCGAAAAGGAAGCTGCTGAGCTCGGCAAGGGTTCCTTCAAATATGGTGAGCAGCTCGATAATCTACATTTTGTGATATCACTGATAACGATCTTCAGCATGGGTGCTCGACAAGCTAAAGGCTGAGCGTGAGCGTGGTATCACGATCGACATTGCTCTGTGGAAGTTCGAGACCCCCAAGTACATGGTTACCGTAGGTTTACTGATGACTTTCCTAGTAATATCCGCTCATAGATTTTCTAGGTCATTGATGCCCCAGGACACCGTGATTTTATCAAGAACATGATTACTGGTACCTCCCAGGCTGACTGTGCTATCCTCATCATTGCCGGTGGTACTGGTGAGTTCGAGGCTGGTATTTCCAAGGACGGTCAGACCCGTGAGCACGCCCTCTTGGCGTTCACCCTTGGTGTGCGTCAGCTTATTGTTGCCGTCAACAAGATGGACACGACTAAGGTATGTGTTGACACTACTAACCATTCATTTCACTTACACTTGGATCCAGTGGAGCGAGGACCGTTTCAACGAAATTATCAAGGAAACTTCCACCTTCATCAAGAAAGTCGGCTACAACCCCAAGGCCGTTGCATTCGTCCCCATCTCTGGCTGGCACGGTGACAACATGTTGGAGGAGTCCCCTAAGTCAGTTTTATTGTATCAGCTGGTTAATTACATTCTCATGTCTCACACAGCATGCCATGGTACAAGGGCTGGACCAAGGAGACCAAGGGTGGTGTTGTTAAGGGAAAGACCCTCCTCGACGCTATCGATGCCATCGAACCTCCCGTCCGTCCTTCTGACAAGCCCCTCCGTCTTCCCCTCCAGGATGTTTACAAGATCGGTGGTATTGGCACTGTGCCCGTGGGTCGTGTCGAGACTGGTGTCATCAAGGCTGGCATGGTCGTCACCTTTGCTCCTACGAACGTGACCACTGAAGTCAAGTCCGTTGAAATGCACCACGAGCAACTTGTTGAGGGTCTTCCCGGAGACAACGTCGGTTTCAACGTCAAGTCCGCATTTGTCATATGTTTCCCTAGTTTTCACGCTCATATATATCTCTAGAAACGTTTCGGTCAAGGATATCCGTCGTGGCAACGTTGCTTCTGACTCCAAGAACGACCCTGCCAAGGAAGCTGCTTCTTTCAATGCTCAGGTCATCGTCCTCAACCACCCTGGTCAGATCGGTGCTGGCTACGCTCCAGTGCTTGACTGTCACACCGCCCACATTGCTTGCAAGTTCGCCGAGTTGATTGAGAAGATCGACCGTCGGAGTGGAAAGTCCCTCGAGGCTGCCCCCAAGTTCGTCAAGTCTGGTGATGCTTGCATTGTCAAGCTTGTTCCCTCTAAGCCCATGTGTGTCGAATCCTACAACGAATACCCACCCCTGGGTCGTTTCGCTGTCCGTGACATGAGACAGACTGTTGCTGTCGGTGTCATCAAGTCGGTCGATAAGACTGACAAGTCCGGCGGAAAGGGTGAGTACCCCCGGCTAATCCTTCCGCGAATAAATTTGCTGATTGGTTCTCTCCTCAGTGACGAAGTCTGCGGAGAAGGCCACCAAGAAGAAGTAATAGATGTAGAACTGCCGTATCCATATTCTTTTTTTTCCGGCCTTCTGCTATTTGCTGTCTCTCTGGTGCCACCCATACGGTATTCATACCTGCAATGTGTTTACTATCATCATTTGTATGCACGATTAACGAAGCTGGCAGCGAGGTCATGACCAGTGGCCTCGCTCGCCTGTTTATTAATGTCGCGGAGATATTGTCTCGAATAAGAACGAAGGGACTTAATTGTATCAATATTTTTATTCATCGTCCCCTCTTCCCTCGCAATCAACGTGTCTTCCCAGATTCTGAGGCTATTTATTGAATTCATACCTCATGGGCTATAATATTAGATCTAGCACACGTGTTCGACTTTCTCCCCTTTGTCAACTTTAGGCCCGAGATCTCTCCCGATAGTTCTGTCAAACACCTCCATCATGAATGTAAATAAGGACCGCGTGAGAGCAGCGTCCCATCGACCTTTGGAAGATTCATCTCTGATGAACGCGTGCTGCGCCTGCACTTCCAGAAACTGTATTTGTGGTAAACATTCCAAAACGCACGCGAAACCACATAACTTACAGAGCAAGATACCTCGGCATTCTCAAGAGTCTTGCGGATGAGATCACGACCTTCGCGAGGGACATGCGTGTCCTAGCAGCACTAAGTTCAACATGCCTCGTCTCCTAAATGCCTTCACGTACCTGTTTCCCGAAAATCATCTACAAAATGTTTCAGAATAGTGTCCCTGCTCTTCTCAAATGGCAAAAAAACATACCACGAGTTCACCTTTGCCTGTCATATCCCCCTTCTGAACACGTGCAAGAGAGTCGTCGTTCTTGCCTTTGCCAAGAGTCGCACTGTGAATATCAGTCGCAAAAAAGCAGACTGAGGATAGAACGCGGGGATCAAAAGCAGCCTTAATAGAGTTTAACGAAAGCTGCTGGTAGTATCATTGCTCTATCGCTTACCCGAAATGCCTGTGTTCTATATGTTCAAAGATGTGGCACTACAAGTAGGACTGACAGACGCACCAAATGTCCTCCCAAACACATTCCTGTCGCTGAAGAATATCTCAACATCTAGTATGCCAACCAAAGGCTCATTGACAAACCTGCAATGCGACCGTTGCAGTTTGGCAAAGAAACCAGAAGATCGACAGAGAGCGTAGCATCCTAGACCACACTTGATATTTGGAGATCTATCGACAACAGAGCCATGAAGCTGACCTCATCGTACGCAGCTATATCTTTCTCGATCTGATACAAAAGTAAATGAGAATGCAAACCGCAACGATGTGAAGTTGCTTGCCTTGTACTTGTTCCCCCTATCGGTTCCTGATATCGACAGTGATAAGCGACGAATAGAAAGATGAAGAGAACGAGACACGCCTTCGGTATCGTACGGAATAGCCTCTGGTCCCTCAAATTCATGGTAGGTCGATGGGCAAGCAACCACATATCCCTGGCTTGCGATCTGACCAGCGAACCTTTCCACTGGCCCTGTCACTTGATAGATTTCACTAACGAATGTGAACGATCGTGCGTGACTTCAGCCCACCAAACTCAGGCTCACCTGAAACATACTACACCTATCCTCGTCCACAAGCACTGGGTCAGCTCCAAGAGAATAAGAACGATAATGACATGCCACTTACCGGGAAACTTTGCTTGTGGATAGTTTGGGACAACAGGAGAGACCACAAAGATACGGATAGGACGCCCGTTGTCGAGTTTGCTGGGCACGTCGTGGAATGTTTTGGCGATGAGCATGGCTGTAGAGAAGTGTTCGGTATGTAGCTTCAGGCAGGTCGGGAAAACAGTTCAACCCACGTTCGATGAAGTGTGTGAAGTAACTTCAAGAGTAAGCGAATTCGAAGTCAAATCATTTCAGTGTCTTCAAGAATGATCATCATTGGAACTTGTTTGCCTCGAGCACTATCTACTGCACATGCGTAAAATTGCGTTTCGAAGGGAGTTGCTGAACTTCCGAATCCCAAGGTAGCACCGCTGTGGATCGTATAAGAATTGTGCCTGCCTGGACAAACGTGCGAGGAAAAGTTGCTACAAATCATGATGGTGAGACTAGGAGCTGTTTCGTCTTCACTCCCATCTGCACGGTGCAATCATGACAGAATCTGATGCGCGTATTCGGTTGTATGAGCCTTCTGATGACAAACTGGTCAAGTTCAACATCGGAAAGGCTTCAATGGAGGGTCTAACAGTCGCAAATCGAAGTAGTACGTGTCGACCTTGAATTTTTCGCGACGAGTTGACCAAATAATTTTGCAGCCTTTTTCCATCCATTCACGTTTAGTGTCTGGGTTGCCCTGGCATGCATCATGATCCAGTATCTCAACTGGTGGCCTAAACCAGAGTACGGGTTCCTTGGTTACTTGCAACCTCTTCCAGCCTTTGCATGCTGGGGCGCCGTTATACTCTACCTCGCGGATTGGTATGTTGACCCTGCGGCACACATCGCAGATCGTTCAATAATTTAACTGGACAGGTTCAACCGCGCAGACTTCGAAGATGCGTCTCTCGACTTGTTGCGAAGACCAGATGTCGCGGACATCGCAACCTATTATCGACGATCACCCTCCTCGGGCCTTTTCGTCCTTGAATATGCCGGAAAGTTCGTCGGTCTCATAGCCATCGATGCTTCGAAGAACTCTCAGTCGCAAGACACTCTTATGGACAAGGGAAAGCTATCTTCATCCCTGAAGTCGAAGCATACAATACCTCAGGGAACATCATCCGTCGCTACAATCCGTCATTTTTATATCGAGGAGCCGTATAGGAAAGCAGGAATTCAGGAGGACCTGCTCGCACATGCCGTACAGCATGCATTCAAAGCGGACAAAGCAGTCAAAGAGATCAAGGTGACAACTAATTCCCTAATACTGTATGTTCAAAAGTGCGTACGTGACGCCGGGTTTGCTTTGGAGAAGCCTGTTGGCAAGTTTGGTATTTATGGGTGGAAATCTGACCTATTCGTTCTGCGGAGGACACAGTGGGAAAAGGAAGGTGCTGCCTCGTAAAGTCGATTATTTAATGTCGTAGTTAAAAACTACCATCTTCTTTGTCTATCAAGGTCTGTTTAGGGGAGACTATGTCGAGGACTTGAGTGGTTCTAGTGGATGAGCTGGTTTGAACCATACGAGCGGCCATTAGTATGTCTCACGGCTACAATATCAAGGAGTCGTCAATTCACTGATGGAAGATGTCTTTACTTCCTTCCGTCATCAACAACCCAACAGGATTAAAACCACATCAACCACTTATCATCCTTCAGTCGTCTTCCGCACAGACATGTTATCCTATCTTGAGGAATCTGATCTCAAATTTTAGACCAACTACTCAGACTCTGCTGTTCTGCTTCTTGCATCCACCATCAAACTTGACGAATGTCGATGAGGCTCCCAATATCACTACGTTCGACTTCACTGAGCGAATTCCCGGCTATGACAATCCGTGGTGCGGTCCTCAGGACGAGATCCTGGCTCGCATCAATTCTGGTTAGTATCTTAACGCGTTTGACGAGCATGATTGTCAGACTGGTAAAAACCTTATAGTACCTCCGGGATCACTGAATGTGATCATTGACTCGGTGGATACATTGGCATCTGACCTCGGATCTACACCAAAAACTTACAAGTTTATTCGGACACTCCTTGAGCTAATTACAACGCGTTCTGGTGTGTTTACACGATTGGTGTCTATGTGCCTACTTATCTTCTTCAAGGACCTTCGATCCTCGCATTACACCTCCAGCCTAGTCCTCTTCTTGAATTACTGACTCAAACTTCCCTATCACCGACGCTTATTCATCTGATTGCGCATCCCCCAGTCATCATTACGCACATAGCCTCTGCATATCTTACACATCCTCCACCAGCTGGTCCGGCAGAGAAATTTTGGAGTGTCTTCATTCCTTTCTCTGAGCGTATACATGAAAGTGAGCGCCTGGTTTATGGCCCTGAAGGCAATGGGACGAGTGCCGGTGCGTGGGCGAGCAAGAGCACAAGGGAATTTGTCGTGGAAGTCCTTCTAAGGGGTGGGAGCAAGCGTGGTGCAGAGAGGACTGTCGAGGGCTGGAAAGGAGATGTCCCGTGCGACCTGCAAGCTCTTGACAGCCTTAAAAGCATTTGGACCAGGAGAAAAACAGAGGAGGTGAGCACAAACGCCACTTTGACATGAAATTTTATATCTGACCACACTATAGGCTCGACCGGATCCAACGCAGAACGTATCGTTTAATCTAAATCTCACGCCGTCGCAGGAGAAATCGCGAGCCCAAGTCCCCCTACCTTACGCACACGAAGGTGACGCTTCATTTCTTTATGCTTAAGTCATTTTAATCTTGGCCTCAGGCAACCCTGTTACAATAGCTGGGGCGATTCTATATGACCCTGATTCTGCCGATGATATCGATGATGATGATCCGGATGAAGACTTGGATATATAGCAGATCTCTATACGCGTATACAACACCTGCGACAATGCGAAAACTGTTGTCTTGATGCAATACTTGCATGACGTCGAGAAGAAACGGAGTAGATGTGAGACAATCGTTGGTCCTGTTCGCAATCAATGATCCAGCCATCTTGATTCTTTTCTTTTCTTTTTTACATTAACCTGTGATATGTCCAACTGTGATATCTCTCTCGTCGCGGTCTGGCCTAACCAGCGCCAGTTCACCATCATGGATCGCATGGCATATAATGAACTACCTAACCGCACGGTATTGTGGCTTCGCTTCATTGGCACATGGGTTCTTGGCAGTGTCTTCAATCCATCCAGTTTCAGGTTATCTAACACACTGCGTGCGGATGACCCTTGTGCAGAGGTTGAGAGCAATGGATCAGCCGCCATCATTCCTTGCATTCCAGGAGAGGATCGTTTCTTTTATCTACACGTCGAGGGTGAGCTGTGCTTGTTTATCGCCGCTTTCCTAGCTGATCGTTTGTAAATAAAGGTTGGGTTCCATATCCAAAATTCGCGGATGATGCCAGTGATGAGCGTGATGCATTCGTGGCAGTGGGTGTAAACTTTCTTGATGTTTCTGAGTCTTCGCTTATACTAGTACTTCCAGGATTCTGAGTTCGACTGTAGCTCTGATGAAGCTGAAGAAGCGGACGTCCTGCACACTCCTAGTTTGCCGAGTCTCCAATGTCTGCCAGGAGGGATGCTGGATGTTGATGATTTAGATGAACTCGAGAACAGCGAGGTTGTGACAATGAGCCAATTGCGAACTCGGAAATGTTCTGGAATGTAAAAACTCAATGCACATGTGACATATTTTGATCCAAATGCACACGCGACGTAAATGCATACGATGATCCGATTACCGGCCCGCATATATGATCCATACTTAAATCTCACACTCGATGCCTTTTGAGGATCCCAGTTTTCTCCATGTTGGCTAGCGTTGCGGTCTTGCGTGCTAGGATCCCATCTACAATGCATAACGTCTCTACACATAGCGGCAAGGGCATCACTGCAGTGCTGCAGAAGAATCCAGATGATGTGGTCATTACCTTTGCAAAGCGTACTGCGATGGGGAAGAACAGAAAGGGTCAATTCAAGGATATCCCAGTAGACTGAAATGATGCAAGCTCTGCTCAAGGTCGACAGGTTATTTGTGGACTACCTACAGTAACTCATAAAACCTTCTGAATCTTAGGCGACCTTTGAGAAGACAAAGCTGGACCCCGCGAAACTTGACGACATTTGCGTCGGTGAGTGGAAGCCGTACCCTTCTGTGTGTTTCTGCATTAACTTTCTGCAGGCACATGTCATCCTCCTTCTCCAATGTACTCCTCGCGGGCCGCTGCTCTCGCATCCGGCATTCCTCACGATGTTCCCATTTCGACAGTGAACAGGCTATGTGCATCCGGCCTTATGGCCATCCGGAACATTGCCCATAATATTAAGTCGGGCGAGATATCCATGGGCATGGCAATTGGAGTGGAGAATATGACACTGAAGCGAGTCTCCAACAGTCTGTGCCAGTGGTACACTAATATTAATCTTTGCGCAGTCCTCGTCCTACGCCTATCATTGCTGAATCTGTCGACAAAATTCCTCGGGCTCACGACTGCATTCAAGTGTGTCTGGGTGAGCTATATAGGTCAAACACTAATATATATGTAGCCTATGGGTTGGACGTCTGAAATGGTCGCTCAAACCTATAAAGTCTCACGACAAAAGCAAGATGAATATGCCCTCATATCACATACTCGCGCGAACAAGGTCTGTACGTCCAAATTTCTCAATGTTGCATCTTAATCACGCGAACAGGCACTGAACACCGGCATCTTCTCCGACGAGATCATTCCAGTCGAAATCCGCGGGACTGTGATATCCGTTGACGACACAATCCGGCCTGGCGTGACGATGGAGATGCTATCTGGGCTAAAGCCTGTATTCCAAGATTGGGGAGATTCAACTACCACTGCTGGAAATGCAAGTGGTATTGGCGATGGTGCTGCGTTATGCAGTTCTCACGACAAGAGAGCGTGCGGAGAAGGAAAACATGGAAATTCTCGGGAAATGGGTTGGAAGCGCAGTTGTCGGTTTGTCATTTGTTGTTTCTGTTTGAGGGCGTGTTGAACCGTTACTGGCGAAGGTGTCGAGCCCTGTTACATGGGCATTGGCCCCATCGCCGCTATTCCCAAGGTCCTTACGCAAGTTGGTCTCACTAAGGATGATATCGATATCTATGAGGTCAACCACTGCCTTCTGTGTTCTTTCTGTTCGTGGTTTAACGTCTTTCACGTAGATAAATGAAGCGTTCGCTTCGCAATTTGCATACTGTGTCGAAGAGCTTGGCATTTCTATGGACAAAATCAACCCGAAGTAAGCCACTCCAGCTTGAGTACTTCTGTTCTGATACTTTGTTGGCAGTGGTGGGGCAATAGCCGTGACACACCCTTTGGGAATGAGTGAGTTTCATTGTCGTCTTGAAGCTTTTATTACTCATCTACCAATTATTAGCTGGGGTTCGTCAAGTTGTCACTGGCCTTGCAGAACTCCGCCGAAGAGACAAAAAGTTGTTGTGCACAAGTATGTGCGTCGGCAGTGGTATGGGCGCAGCAGGCATCTTCGTAAACGAGGCACAACCATTTTGTGAAGCGAAGTTATGAGTTCTGAATCGTTTGTACTTGATCGAGATGTGGGTGTATTGTACATATTCATAACTGCTGTCTCGAACAAGTCTCGGTATATCTCGAACTTATTTGGCCGCGGCCAGCGCCGCATCTACAATTTCTGTCATTTTTATAACCGCCTCCTCCTCCAGAGTCCGACCGACAAGCTGCAAAGAAACAGGAGCGTTCTTGAATTTCTCTGGGTCATCTGAATTGATTGTTAGTGTCAGAAAATCACTGATCAACTGGGCGGTCGTTCAGTGCTGGCACCACTCACACATTTCGTATATCTCCTTATCGAAGTCGTCATAGAAACTATGAGGAGATTTCTTCCTATCAAGAGTAGGGTCGACAGTAGTCACAGGGAAAACCGCAGCGGGATAGTCGAGCGCATTCCAAACGGTAGTATATTTGGCGTCCCTGTGCACCGTCTCATTGAAAGTGCGAGACTTTGAAATTATAAAGACACTCACCTGTTCTTCCCATGGGGAGTTGCAACAAACGGTGCGACTGGACAAATGATAGCATCGACAGCCCGTCCTGTCCCAGTCTCAGAGGCAGTTGCGTTCCAGTGGTCTATATATTCTTTCCGGATATTCTGACGCAGCTTCTGCAATTGCCAGAGCTGGTATGCGGTGATACCACCATTTTTCGGACGGAATGATGGCACCGTAGCATCTGCGTCGTCCAGCTCCATCGTGGAAATTATTGGCTCCCCTGTGCTGGAGGTCGTGATCATGTAGTCCTCGACAGAGCCGGCATTAAAGATGTCCCGCTGCACGATGCTAATAGATCAATAGACTGGCAAAGTAAAGGACACATTTACTTACCGCGACTTCTTCAAGCAATTTGTGCTTGATGGGTTTCCAGTCGACAACTGCCACTCAATAAGTATAAATTAGCAGAGGAATTAGATGAGAAGAACCTTTGTGGCCAGCCTTTTGGAGAGCCGCTTTGGTCATTTCCAGAGACCTCCTGACAGGTGGGTGGGGAAAAAGGACGCCATCGTCCCACATGATCGCAAAGCACAGGTCCTTACCAAACCCATGGTCCGCGAGTTCGTACTCGTCTTCGTCCCATTGCTTCCGAACCGCAAGAGGGTCCTTGAGCCATGGTTTAGAGTTAACGACAGCTTTCATAAAGATCTTGAGCCCGCAGAGACTGTTTGTCATAGGACCGAACACGGAGAGAATCGAGTCTTCGCCCTCAAGTGAGTTGCGAGCACCACAGTACGGTACACGCCCGTATGACGGCCTCAGGCCGTATATCCCGCAGAATGCAGAGGGGCCACGAATAGAGCTGTCAGAAGGCTGTCAGAAGGCTAATACCAATGATACTTCCAAATTATTGACATACCCTCCGATATCAGAACCGACTCCCAATGGGCTTCCCTTTAGGGCAACCAATGCACCCTCTCCTCCTGATGACCCACCTGGAGTCAGGGAAACATTGTGTGGGTTAGTTGTCCGGCCGAAGACGTTATTGAAGGTTTCTCCCCACTGAAGATACTTTAGCACAGGAGTAGTGCTTGGTTTCAGGGGCGGGCTCACCATGAGTGTCTGCGGAACGTTGGTGCGGACAAATGGCACGGCTCCGCACTCAATCAGAATATCGACCAACACTGCGTTTTTGTCTGCATACTGCCCGATCCACGAGACATAACCTAAAACCCAGTGAATCGCAAGGCTTTAAGTCTAGGCCAGGATTAGACCTACCCATAGTGGTTTCTAGTCCTTTGATGCATAGTTGGTCCTTTAGAGAGATGGGCAGCCCGTGAAGAGGACCAACAACCTTCCCTGTTTTCTTCAAGTAATCATCGAGTTCGGCCGCTCGGTCCAGTGCACGATCAATGAAGATTTCCGTCAAGCAATTGACCTCGTCAGCCACTTAATACCACATCGTTGAACAAATGCCTGGAAACTCGGCTTACAAGCTGATGTGCAACAATGGCCCTCTTGGAGAATGCGGTAGTCACTTCCACGGCTGTCCATTCCGCACTTGCAAGTTTCTTCAATAAGACATCCACCAAAGTATTGGTGATCTCAATTTCTCGGGCATTCAGAAGGCCACACGACTCTGGAAAACCGGTTACATCCAGAGTAGAGGGTGGAGGCGGAGTCACAAGCCACTCTTGTGGAATGGACTTGAGCTGCCTCTGTTTCTTCTCTGCGGCTAGAGCAGTCCAATGCGGCATATGGATAGTGGGTTAGAGATGAGAGATGGCGAAGCTCAAACGCTTCACGGTAGATAAGACATAACTAACGGATAGAAGAAGTCCGTGGCTAATATTAGCAGCGAGATAAGACTGTTAAAGCAGTAATAATAATTGGCTTGAGGGTCAGATGTGTGGATGGAAGAGAAGAATTTTGGTCATGCGGATTCATATAACTACTCAGGTCCGGGCAAGGGCCTGAGAGAGACAATATTCGATAGATATGTGTATGTTTGGAAACCTGCTGCGACGACAGCAGGATGAATTGAGCGGGAAATAACAGGTTAGGTCGTGGAATCGATAGCGTGAAACAAATGAGCACGATGCAAATGCGCGTACGCGGGCAAGAGGTGTGCGAAACTAAAGTTCGTGACATCATAGACTGGTACTTACATGGGTTTGAATTTGGATGAAGAGCGAATTCTCAGGATAACGTGATGTATAACTTAATAAATACTATCATTCCTGGTAATATGTACACAGTTGCTAATATGCAAAACTTTATAACACTTCAACATTGTGCTCAACTGGCATCGAAAAAATTCAGGTGTATGCAGAGTACCTAGAAATGATGTCTTGTGCAAGTAGAATACAAATTTCTTGGATGTTGCAGCTGCGAGAGATGAAATAGTGATAATTTGTAACCTTGGTCCAACACAAATTAGGGATCAGCATGGGTATGTGTAACCCATGTGGGTTGTGGGTAAAGGTACTCTGGGGTATGGGTGGGGGTTCAGGTATATGATACCCATACCCTTACCCCCACCCACGGGAAAGTACCCATGGGAATATAGTATAAGGCATACACCTTCTATGACTATCACACATGCTAGCTAATAGTATGTACCCTTATGCATCAGACATATTCTGTAGAGCTTTTTATTGTTATGCATTCGATTTTTTTGATGTTGTGTTAGTTTGTTCTTGTGCTCGTCTCAGATTTGATCGTTCAATGGATAGTCCTTGAATATACTAGGACCAGTATTCACTACTCTTCCGCAAGGAGTTGTGTCACCAAAAATCACAGGCTTTATTCTCTAGTTTAACATCATGTTTAGGCACACAAGATGCTCACTTATTGTAAACACAATGATATCGGTGTTATCTCTATCTTCTGGTTTCCTTGCACGTCCTACTAGCCCAGAGGTGGAGTGTATCAATTCCATCAGGAGAGCTTCTTTCGAGCACAATGTATTACCACCATCACTGCAATGTCATGAGCCAAGAATAATTTGATCAGTTTTAAATGCCTGTATACCATGAGATCCATCTGATGAAGTAGTCAGATTGCTGCAAAGATATAAGAGAAATTTACAAAGCGGGGTCACAAAACACCGCGTATATTTCATCTGCCATACATAGCTAGCATACACATCCTTCAAATGCAGATCCCCACTGACCAGGTGAAATCATGATTTCATGGTGTTGGGTCCATACTCCAAAAAAGCAACAGATCAGAGGGAAAGAAAGGACATGGTCGCTATGCACTCCATCATTTTCTGACCAGCTCACTTCCTCCAGCCTGCCCATGCACTCTCAACCATCCTGCCCTTAGCGCTTGCATACTTCTTCCCTCGCTCACCCTCAAAGGAGACACTGGAAGGTGTATAGTGCCGACGTGGTCTCCACGTGAATGCAGGGGTGGAGAAATCATGAAGGTGATAGAAGAGGGAGCGTCCACTCAAGCCCTGGTAGCCTGTGTTACAATAATGTTTAACCCTTATTTATTTTTCTCTTTCTGTAACCATAGCACAGACTCTAGACTCATCTAGGCCTGGCTATTCTCTTATCAAGCTGGCTGTCCGCATTTCTCTTCTTGATTATATCATGACTACTATCATCATGCGCAGCATGGTTGTTTCACCTATCTTTGCTATCTTGATAGGTTGTACTATTTCACTATCTTCATTACCTTTCTTGACATGGCTGCGCCGCTTCCTGTTACCTATATAAACCCCATGTACATCAGTAGTATTCCTTAACTTAAGCTACTGGGTTTTCCCCTTGAATCCTTTCTATTTTGATTGCGTCTCGGCCCCAGTGCCCTCTTTCACTGTGTTGTTTGATCACAAGTTGTTTTGCCTCTTCTTGTGTGACACATTCTACTCTGTCTCTTGCTCGTACTGTGGTGCCTCCATGCAGTTGCCATAGCTTCCCATCATTGATCATGTACTGGGATGCTCTGTGTTTTGCGTGTTTCCTGTCTTTGAGCGATCCTGTTGAGTAGAGTTGTGTGATAGACTCAATGACTTCTCAAAATACTGGTTTGTTGATGAATCATTCCTGTAAATTTGTAATTAGCTGTGGTTCACTTATCGAGGTACTAAACAGAATATTGTTGACTAAACCACTGTGTGCCTCCAAGTCTTCACTAACAGTCCAATCACTGCCATCTAATAGTCCAATGTCCCTTGGTTGTCCTTCCCATGGTCGGCTTAGTCCATCTGTGATTACATTGAGTTTCCCTGGGACGTGTCTGACATCAATTATGTGGTGTGTGAGGATTCCATCCCTCCAATGCGTGTGGGCTACATTCATATGGTCATTGAGGAGTACATCTCGTAGTGCCTGGCAATCAGTTTCTATTTCCACTGGGAAGCCCCATACCATATCTGAAAACTTGTCTAATCCGAATTTGAGGGCTGCAAATTCTAGGAGGAAGGGCTTGTACTTTTGCTCTGACACTGATGTGCATTTCAATGTGAATGTTATTGGTAAAAGTTGTTCTGACCATTTACCCGAGGGCTTCTGAGTGCGCGTTCTTTGGGACAGTACTGCTGCTAAGCCCTCTTGGCACCTGTCCAATGTCACTATGAATGATGATCTGCCGTATTGAGGTGCTTGCAATATCAGACGTGAAAATAGGACTGCTTTGAGGTCTAGGAAGGCTCTGGTGTGTTTTTCAGTCCATTGCTCTGCTAACTTGAAGTCTCGTAGTATACGTCAGTAGGTGTTCTTGGTGTATGGTGGGTGGAGTGGGGCCATTTTCACCAAGTCTCTTAATGGACCTTCTCATTTTGCGTAGCCTTGTACGAGATCCCGGAAGTGGCTTGTGAGACCTAAGAATGATTTGAGGTTAAGTGCGTCAGTTGGTTGCATCCAGTTCACGATGGCCATCAGTTTTTCTAAGTCTGGTTGAACACCTTGTGGCCCTACTGTAGCACCTGCAAATGTAGTTTCTGTCATGAACAGTCTGCATTTAGATGGAGAGAGAGATAGTTTCTGATCCCTGCATCATTGGAAGATTCACATGAGTTTCTCTATCATTTCATCGAACGTATCTGCTGCACATGCCCCGTCGTCTATGAACAATTCCATTGTACCATCTGCAATCAAATCATGTAAGTGAGTAGCGGTCATATCTGCAAATGTGGATGGTGTGCCTGTAAGCCCCATCGGCATGTGTTTGTGCCAGAACCATCCTCTTCCTTCAACATAAAATGCTGTGTATAGTCTTGATTCTTCAGGTACTTCGACTGCATAGAATCCGGATGCAAAGTTGAAGACTGAGTCATATCAGTGACCACTGAGCCTAAGTTGTTTAGCACAAATGTCTCCTTGCGGCATGGGGGCTATAACCGTGTGGCGATTAACTTTGTTGAAGTTTTGACAGATGTGCCATTTCTGTGGTTTGTTTGGTTGCTGGGGTGCATTGTGCTCTGGGATTTCTCATTCTGGTAGTGTAAACACTGGTGGTACTCTGTTCTGTTGGCATTGTTTGTTGACTCAATGCTGGAGTTCTTATAGTGAGAGGCCTCCATGTTTGTGTACCTTCTGTGCTAGTACCATGGTGGCTGCACATTTCACTCGGTCTGGTGGTGCTCGTTCTATAATACCTGCTGTTAGCATTTCATCTATCTTACCATGTAAAAATTGCAGCTGTGGAGGGGTAAGCGCTCTTTGATGGACTCATAGACAGAAGGTGACACCATTCAGGATATTGAGTGAGTGTTTAGCTCCTGGAACCGGTATTACTTCTCCGAGTGACCCCACAAAGATATCTGCAAATGATGCTGTTAGTTTCTCTACCTGTTCTTGCTCTTCTGCCGTTAAATCATTGGACTTTCTTAACAATGAAGGCTATTTGACTTGCATTGAAAGGATCTGTGAGTCGTGTGAAAATAGTGTCATCATTCTCTAGAAAGCCCACCAGTGAAGATGAGGAATCTAAACTGTGGGGAAAGTTGGTGCTAAGCTAAGCAAACACAGATAGACCCGGGCACGAGTGAAATTGTCGTCCCAAGGGCAGCTAACTGAGTTAAGGGAAACCTCTCTTTGTAAAAAGAGGGACACCAAACAACTAATAAAGTACAAAAGCTAAGTAATGCATGAAGCATGAGGTGAAAATGATGTGATGTGCGAAAGGCGAACACGCGAGTGCAATAAGCAAAGGACGAGGTGCACGACGCTAAGGTAGCGCGCACGAGTGAGAGCGAAGGCGAGAGACTAGCAAGTGAGAGTAATGAAGGAAAGCTGAAGCGAGATGAGTGTTAACACCCCAACTAAGGTTGGCTGATGCTAAGATGGAGACCAAGAACCGAAGTGCACGACTTTGGATAGTCATTAGCAAACAACAAGTAAAATTCTTAGTATCTAGAGACACATAGAAAGTGGGCAGAAAATCGACCCAGAAAATAGAGTAAAGAGATAGTATATGCAAAGATGGCTAAGTGCCGCTAGGTGCGCAGGTCCGATGTAGCGAGCCGAGTAAGCTAAATATAGTATGTGAGGTAGGTAATAGGGTCTCGGCTGCACGCGTAGCACTAGGCCAAGGATTAGTGATGGAAATAATTAGTCAAAATGGGAATATAGTGAGAAAACGCACCAATGAACATCTAAGGACATGGGGAGGATGGATGGACGGGTATACGGACAATGCTTAGGAGGGTACGTGATGTGTGCATAGTGTGAGTGGCTGTGCATGGAATCTGCAAAGTAAAATGTATGAAGCGCTGCTGCGTAAGACGTATCCTTGGGATTAGAGCTGGAGTGTGTAGGGAATGTGGGAGAATTCAAGGGAAGTGCCTGTGGAGATGCAAGGCTCTACAACAGCAGGAGACTTTTAAAATCTGACTGTCCCCAGTCAGCGTGTGCACGCGAATGGACTTAGAGAAATTTTGACGAGAGGTGTCACGTGATTGCGGTCCGTATTCCAAAAACAAAGTGCCAGCGGTTGGCCTCGTGACCTCGGGAATTAGCGTGGATGCTGACATAATTGTGGTTAGCGTGTTTAAAAGAGCACTATGTGGCAACACATTGTTCTCTCATCTTTCACATTAACCATGACTACCCTTTTCATTATTTTACCATGACCAACTTTGATTTATCTTTGCTTGAACTGCCTTGCTCGCCTTCACCTGAGGCTGAGGCACCTATCAATGCTGCGCCGGTGGCTGAGGAGCCGGCTCAGAAAATTCCTGAGCCTGCGCCTGTTGTTGAGTCTGCTGGCAACCACATCCTCTGTGTTTGAAATGCACTCCTTCCGTCAGTGGGCATGTTGTCGGGCTCGCATCCAGAGCTCCTCCAAGAGTGTCTGGAGGATATTGAGTCATGGCTCCATGAGTGGGCGCACTTCGAGGTGAGTGGCACGTGTCTTTTTGCGTCTTATTCTTATTTACTGATTGACCATACTCATCTTTATAGGCTAATGTGTGCGTCTGCACGCATGATGCGCTGGAAGCTGAGGTGCTCCTTCTGATCGGTGATGAGGAGAAGGAGATACTGCAGGACCTTAACAAGTGGGTTGGAGTGGCGAGGAAAATGGTGAGCGGGTGGAAGGAGGTGGCGGAGAAGATCATGGCGGAGGCGCGTGCGGCTCACACAGCGAAGGAGAAGGGGAAGGGAAAGGAGAGGGAGGAGAACCCAGACATGGGCAAACCTGTAAGTGCTTTTTTGTTCTTTTTCTTGTGTTTGGCTAACTTCTGATCTGCGTTGACAGAAGGCTGGCGGGCGTATGTCGACTGCGCTGAAGACTCTAGACCCTCCCTGCGAGAACTGTGTGCAGTGTGGGGTCAAGTGCTTGCAGGGCAAGAACGCGCGCTGCAGGCCTTGCGAACACTCACACTGAGTGTGCAACTTTGGTGAGTGGTCTCATTATTTTAGTTTTCGAATACTCTAACATTTGTGATAGCTACCAAGTGCAAAGTGTCCGAGACTGCGGCAGTGCCACACAAGGTGCCTCACATGGCTGAAGAGCACATTCTGACGGTCGAGCCGACCATGGCCGATGATGCCGACAACTCTGGCAAGTCTGAGGTGGAGGTCCAGGAAGCGCTGAAGAAGGTGCACCCTGTGCCCAGGCTGGTAAAGCCATTGCCTGTGCGCACCGCCGCAGGGCCTTCGAGGATTCGTGCTGATGATTTGGACAATGAGCGCCTTCATGCTGACAATGAATGTCTGTGGGAGGAGGTCGAGAAGTTGCGTGGTTTGCAGGACAACTACGACCGGTTCATGCGCAACCTGAACTATCAGGCGCACAAACAGCAGCAAGAGCTCATCACAATGAGAAACCGCCTCTACTCTTTCTCAGATGAATGGAGGGTGATGGGACAGGAGATGGATGACTTCGTTGTGGGGCAGGAGCAGGCATGGAAGTAGATAGATACTACTATACCCTTTTTCTTCTTCTTCTCTGCATGCTGCCTTCGTGCTGTACTATATGTTCATCTGCCTGTGCACAAATCACACTTACTATACATTTTCCTTATGTGCTGTACAATATAGTCATTTTACGTCATGCCAATTATGAGTCCATGTGATCTTTGCCTAAGTCCTAGTCTGGTTCCATGTCCATGTCCAAAGAGTCCATTGGGCCTGGATATAAATGAAATAGTACTTGTGAGTAACGTGGTATAGTTAGGATGAAAAGGAAGGATAATTAGCGATATACGTGTGATTGCGTGAGCTTCGTGCTTGACTTGTCTTCTTTGTGCGACTGTCTGCGTCTATTCCTGCTGTGAGTGATTATAGTGATCAGGTATAGTCTACGTAAAATGTGCACAGCGTGGCTTCATGTGTTTGAAATAGAAGGTCTATGTGGCACGCGCGAGTCAATTAGGAGAGCTTATCTGTATATGCTGTTTTGGGTATTATGCGCGATGCGCACGATATAATAGAGTCTGTGTTTGTGTTATGATCAGTGAATGCATGGGTTATATGTGAGGTGCGAGAGAGAAACTGAGGTCGCCAGACAAAACCCGGGGTAAAACTGAGAGTGAGTACTTCTAGCGAGACTGTGTTTTTGTGTTTTCTTTATTTTTGCGATGTTTTTGTTATTTGTGGTATGATATGTACAAGTGTGAGTGTCCAGAATTTGGGAATGCAGGGGTGTGGATATCAGAGTATGTGATGAGCGAGCCTCTGCGTGCTATTCATCTTGTGCGTGCTCGGGTTTGTCTTCATCGGGTTCTATAGTTTTGTTAGCTTCTAAATGGTCTATACTTTTGTTGTCTGTTCCGATCATCTTTGTGACGGATATGTGATCTTCGCGGTGCGGATAATATGGTATCACGTGAAATACGGCAAAGTGAAGTTTTGATATTGTGCCATCTAGCTCAGCGAGCATATAGGAACCTCCTTTCATGTGCCGCACGACCATCATTGGTCCGAGATAGCATGGCTTGGTTTTCTTGCTGAGTTCATACTCGACTTTGGAGTTGCGGACAAGAACTAGCACACCGGGTTCAAAGTCATACGACTTGATAGACAGCGTCAAAGTGTTTCTCAAAATCGCAAACAGACTTGAACTGTGCTTTGACTACCTGAGCCTTGATTGCATCAAGATTGGCTTCACATTTCTGTAATTGGCGTGCGCGCCATGCTATAAGGTCAGCGGTGGTAAATGCACCTCAGCTCGGCAATGGAGCGAGAAAGGTAGCTTCAGCTAAGTCAAACAGAAATATAGGCTTGATGCCGTGAACCATAAAATAGGGCAATAGGCCCATCGCGTGATGAATAGTAACACGCTCAGCCCAGAAAACAGAATGCACAACTTGATACCATCGCGAGTCATCACTGTCACAACTTTTGATGATGGCCTCCCAGACATCTTGGTGTTGTCTTTCGACTATACCGTTCGCCTGCGAGTTATACAGCGAAATGCAAATCGGGTGAATCCCGTACTTTCGCGCGAGTTCATCTACTGCGAGTCTATACACGGGGCCATTATCGGTCACGATCTTGGTGATCGGACCCCATCTGCAAAGGAGCTCTTCAAAAATAAAAGCGGTTAGCATTTTGGTATTCTCTTTGCACAACATGCGCCATTCAGGGTACGACATTAATGTGCAGCGCACTTGCACGAGATACTCAAATCCACCTGCTCTGGGCATCTTCATCGTGTCAATGTGCGCTTTGTGAAATAAACCTCCTAGTATTGGAACAGTTGGCGGAATATGCAACTTTCACATTTGGCGAACCTGACAGTCGTGGCACATTCACACATACCACTTAATGTCTTCGATGATGTGCGGCCACCAAAAGCATAGTAGCAACCGCACGCATGTGGTGTAGATGCCTTTATGGCCAAGATCGTCATGCGCTTTCCTTAAGAAGGCGATATCACTTGTGCGGCAGTGCTACTAGCTGGTGCTTTCCATGGGATTCTCTTTGCCAGAGGTTGCCCTCAAGAACAAAGAAATATGTGGCGTAGTTGACAAACACTGTGAATTTGTGATCTGAAAGGTCAGCAGGTCGTTCGCGCGAAATAAGAAACTCTTTGGTTAAGACGAGCTGACGCGTCTAATGCTTGCGCAGCCTCTGAGCGAGGGATGACTGGTTCAGGCTTTTCTTCTAGTGCAATGTCTAGGAAGATGCGGTGTACTGGTGTGCACAAGTCAAAGGATGTGTGTGCGTTCTGGTGCGCATGGCGGATGAGTTCTGTGCAACTGCTCGTGATGTGTTGCGTTCTATCATTTAGTATCGCGACTCCAAATGAGTATGTGCAATCTATCCAATCTTCATGGTCATTGTCCTCCTCGAGAGGATCCTCATCAGTGAGCAGTCTCCTTGAGAGACCATCAACACCTTTGTGCTTAGTTGCAGAAACATGAGCAAGTTTGAATGAAAATAATAGAATGCCCACAATCCATCGATTGATGGTCGTGTTAGGCTGCAAATCCGGATTGTTGATCATACCTTTGATATATTTCGTGTCGACTTTGATGGTGAGATTCTTGACTCCGAAAATGAATATGCAAACTGCACGAAAGAGTCCATAGAGCTCTAGCTTTGCTTGCTGAGTATCGGCTTTCCACCTCGTTCAGCACTATGCTGCCAAAACGATTAGGATATCGCTTGCCATCTGCACCTACTTGCAACAGAATGAAGCCGATCACGATGTTGGACGTGTCAATGGTGAGAATAACTTTGTGTTCACTCTCGTAATCAAGGCGGCGAAGAGTGGGAGACTCTAATACTGAGTCCTTGAGCGTCTGATACGATTCGCGTTCTTCAGGTCTGAAGACAAACGGAACATCTTTCCTGGTGAGATTAGTTAGTGGGCGCGCCTTGTGCGCGAAATCATGGATGAAAATGCGTAAAACACCGCAGGTTCCCAAGAAACCATGGACTTGTGACTGGTTGGTAGGCTCTGGCCAATCTCGTATCTTCTGGACTTTGGTGTCTTTGGGTATGCGACCCTCGAAAGTACACTTATGCCCGACGATGACTGCGCTTGGCGTGGTGAGAATGAACTTCATTGCGCTGACCATAACACTGACATTTTCTAACCGCTGCAAGATGCAATGCATGACGGTTAGGTGCTCCCAGATGAAGCGACACATGCTGGGGTTTTCAGGTGTGGTCTCATAAGTACCGTCCTGCGAGTTCATATTGCGTCTTGATGGACTTGACCACGATATCATCTATGAACGGAAGTGTGTGCTTTGGAATCTCATCCTGTAAAATAAAGGCTACATCGCCTTGGAAAATCTGCGCTGCGTTAGTATGACCTTGTGGTAAGGTGGTCAGCCTATGCGGGCCTAAAGGTGTGCTGAATGTAGTAAGATTGCGCAACTCTTCATGAAGCGCGCGCTGGTCATATCCTGGAGTACAAATCCATCATGCCATATATCACGTAACCCACGAAGGATTCAGCGAGGTGTTCAACAAAGGGGGGTACTGATGCGTTGTGAATTGTCACCACATTGAGCGGCTGTAAATCATGAATGAGGTGGAGCGATTTGCCGTCTTTCTTGACTACACAAAACCAGCGCGAACAATATGTGGCCATTAAAGGCTTCGTATATGCCCAACACGATTTTCTCCTTAATGATGCGTGTGACTTCGTCTATTGTCGACGGCGGAACCAGTATATTGCATTGCGACCATGGTGCGTGCAGAACTGTCAGAATCTTATACGGCAGGAAGTACTTTTCGTCAAGGTGGCCACGCTTGGATGCTTCCCAAGTAAACACGAGTTTGTGCGTGCGGACTAGCCAGCATACTAGCCTAGCTTCCTCTGGCCATAGCCAGTTCACGGGATCGAAATTCAACTTATCTGCGTGCACTTGCGTGAGGTGGATACCTGGAACAAAATCTGGGGGGTGAGTGGGTAACGGGATTAATCCTACTAAAGGATCAGGTGGTAGTTCGCAAACGATGTGATACTTGGGCAGGGTAGCCACGAGCATGCTGCGAACTTTCTTTGCGACTGGTTTGTATACCAGCGCGTGTATAACAGGATCATATTCATAACACGCATTGAACGCAGCTATGTTCACAATGTGAAATGCCGAGCTGGAAGAGGTTAGATGTGTGTATAGTGCGGACTGCGGAAGAGAGAAACAAGAGTGCAAAAAAGAGATGGGAATGAGAGATGATGACGGAATTAATGAATGTGATGTAGTGATATTGCTCCTTGAGAGCAAATGAGAGTGGTTGTTGTCATGCGAGCGAAGGAACATTAGCGATATATGAAGAATAAAACGAGTGTGACGGACGGAGCGAGGAGCACGAATACTCTATAGTGTCTCCCTGCATATGCTGCGGATCATTGATACTTAAAAATCCTGACCCTCAATCTCGGCGATGTTGACATGCGAGTGCGTATGCATAGCTTTGCCGCAGGGCGCGCCGTGTACCAGTGACTTGGCAGTTTCTGACCAAAGGGAGGGTCAGGATGCGCATTTCTTTGTGCATATTTGGATCCATTAATAAAATGTCCTGCGCTCCGCTAGGGAGATTGAACGTGCGACAAGAAGTGAGAGTGAAAAATGGGCGTCTGAGCAGAACCTCAAAGTTTGCGCGCTCCGTTACCTGAACTTGGAAGTACATAGGACCTCCTCTGAAATCGAGTGTGATATTTTTGATGACACCAAGCGTCGAATTGCGTGAAGTGTTTACCGACTCCATGCGCATGTGGTGATCTGAGCGCAGACCAACTCCGAGTGATTGCCAAACTTCCCTTCACATTACAATGACTTCCGTGCCCTGATCGAGGACACAGGTAAGTGTCCGGCCGCCTATGGTAGTTGCGCAAATGCACATCTTCATACTCGCGCATCCAATGATGCGAAATGGGATGACTTGACAGCTTGTTGACTGAGACTGTCGCGACAGTGACCCATCAATTGGTCGACATGTTGCGGAGGTTTTTCCAAACATCGGGCGAAACAGCTAGGACATTGTATACAGGAATGCTGATCGCGACATCTAGGATCTGGTCAGTTATGCACTTTTTGGCGCCTTTGTCCTCAAGCGGACAGGTTAAACAATAAGTGCCCGAAGACGTGGGTGCTGCTGGCACTGCTGCTGCTGCTACTACTGGGGGGGGCAAAACGTTAGCAGTCTTTTTCGCGGAAGATGACAATGATGTTTGCACGCTCATGATCGGTGCGGGTGGTACTACTATGGGTATTTTGGCTACCTCCTTGCCTTTACTGGATGTTGCTTGAATAGCCGTGGAGATGATTTCCTCCTCGACTGTCAGCTGGCACGATGCCAGACCTGGTCGTGATCGTGTTTCGCTAGGAACAGCAACACCGTCAAAGCAGACATTCTTTTCCCTCACGTTAGCTTTCACTCCACGTTTCTGCTCTACCTTTGCCTCTGCATATGCTAGGGCTTGGATAGCGCGCTCGAGTTCACACTCATCCTCGTCTTTCTTGGACTTGGACTCAATGATCGTGTGTATGAATGTGGATGGATCAACATCCAAAATGCATTCCGCCTCGGCTGGTGTGTGGTACCATAAACCTACATGAGCACTGCTAGCATCTGTGCTCTTCTCACTTTCGATCATACGATCTACGCGATCCTTTAATAACTGTTTGCATCCGACGATGCAATTGCCATTAGGCATGATGAGTTTATAGTTCTCATCCAACTTACACTTCCCTGCATCGAGGTATTTTTTGCGCTCCAGACAACACTGTAGCGATGGTCACAGCGTTGGGCTCAAAACCACGTATTTCCATACTCACGTCAACACCCGAAACATATGCGCACATGTCCAACGCACTTTCGCACATGTCCGAGCCACTCCATATCGGATCCTGGCGCATCGGACCTTCGGACATCGCATCGGCCGATCGCACTTCGCGCGCACTTGTCCATCCCGTGTCCTGTCCATCCGAACTAGCCTCACTAGGTGCGTAGAACCACATCTAAAACACTCTCCTGAACAGATCTGCACTGTTCCTGGCATTAGAGGGTATGGCATCTGCTCTGAACATCTGGTTCTGTCTCCCCATTGCGTCTCCCACTGTCGTACTTGCTCTATGTATGCTGCTTGTCCTCCTGGTGTGTCTGGGTGGTGTATGAGCTCATTGATGTGAGCTTGCATTGTGTCTCGTTCCTCTTGAGTTGGAGGTAAGCCTCTTGGACATTGCCTCATGTTCTAATTTGCTGCAACATAGCATACTTGGCGGCAAGCTATAGTGTTGTTCATTGGGCTAGGCATGGCATTGTGCATTGTGTTCATGTTGTAGATAAGTTTGGGTTGCATGTTGACTACTGGCAGGAATGGGGTGCTTGCTTGCTCTATGGTTGCTCATTGCATTTGCAGATATAGGATCTCTGGACGGAGTCTGTCTGCCTATTATTGAGTTTCGCAATTCTCAAGTTCTGTGCCTTTTCCACTTCTTTCTTCTTCTTTTCTCTCCATGCTTTGTCCTTGACGACATCGATGCTGGTGTTCTTGATCTTGTCTAGGAATGTCGTCCAGTCTGGTGGCGCTGGTGAGGTGAGGTCTCATATGACACTTGGAAGGGCTTTGCAAACTTGGTGGATAAATACTGGTGCACTCTCTACACCTGCATCTTGGACTAATTTCTGCAGGCATGCATGATAGTGTAAGTGTGACCAGGTTGAGACACCTGCTACTATGATGTGTTCCCCTACATCTTCCTCCTTGAGTCTCAGTGCGAGGAGCTCTTCCTGATAGTCCTGTGCGGACTTTGCTGCTGCTACTATGGGCAGCCACTGCACCTGGAATGCTGCCTTGACCGTTGCCCATGAAGCTGTCTCTACAGCTGTTAAGGTGTCCCACCATATGTCTGCTTGTGAACCTGCAGATATAAACATGCTGAATATAATGACTTTCATTGCTTCATCAGTGATTCTGCTGACATGGATGTATCTTTCTACTTCTTGTAGGAAATTCTGTGGGTTCTCATTGCTGCTCCCACTGAACAATGCTGGTGTTGGTGTAGTTGCCATCAGCAGATATTGGACTTGGGCCGGTATGAGTGATGAGATGGTGCTTTTCTTTAGAAACGGTCTTGGTTTGCTCATGGTAGGGGCGGTGAGTTGATGGAAATGCTGAGTTGATGGGAATGGAATGGAGTGTATGGGCTCTGGGATGTGAATGATGAGAGATGGGTCTGGTACTCCTGGCAGTGACTCCTCATTGTCTTTGCATTCCTCCAATTGCTTGTTGACCTTGTGTTCTGATGCTGATGCCTCATTGTCTGTCAAGGCACGTTCACTAAGTTCTGGGGTGTCCAATAGTGAGGAGTTGTCTGATGCAAATTTTGATAATTCTGTAGTTGGGTCTATCTTCTTAATGAACTGTCCACCTTTACCTCTGGGAGGGAGGGATTTCTTCTTTGTGCATTTAGCTGGGAGAAGTGTAGATATCAGTGGTGGGTTTTTGTACTTCTGAATCAAAATGCTATGCTTTAGTTGTGTTTTCCTTGCGGCTCTAACACGATGTGTTTTATTAATTTTCGGACTTGTACTCATGTTTCCATAAGACTTATGACTCTTTTGGACTTGGTTTTAAACACGGCTCTGGACTCTGCTCTGGATATGGCTCTAAACTCTGTTTCTTGTGACTCTGGGCTTGACCAACAGCTGAGTTGATTTACCTTCAGCATTAAACCTTGCTTGCTGAAGCCTCACCAAGCAAGACTCCTAACTTTGGGCTAGCCCAGGGACATCCTCGACCATTGATGACACATGCTCTGTTTGAGTATCGTCAACAGACACTATCCAAGTCCATAACAGTGCATTGTCTAGACAAGGTCTAGGAGAGGGAGAAAGTATCAAACTACAAGATGACTCTTGGCTAGATGAGTTATCACTGTTTACCAGGACTTCCCAAGCATGCTTTCAAACTACAGTATCTTTAGATGAAAAGAAGATGCCTTTCTCCTCAGTATTAATGAAAACAAGTTTCCAGGAGAAGAACCTAAAGGATATAGATATATTCAAATTCCTTATGACCTTAGAAACTTCATCATTTGAAAGTACTTCAGCAAAGAAGCAGTTCTTAAATAAGGCTGTCAAGTTCTTTGTCCAGAATGGAAGAATGTACAAAAGAATGCAGGCTAGGCCACCATTATTAGTGATATTTGATCTGGAAAGACATGTAACTATACTGAATCAGGCACATGAGAAACTTGGACATAGGGGCGAAGCAGCCACATAGAAGACTATCTGTCTTAGATTCTTCTGGTCCTGCTTATTTTCAGATGTATGACATCACATACAATCATGTCACCCTTATCAAATATGAAGTACAGTGAAGATACACACTCCTATCATAGTTTCTACTTCTTCTACTATCTTTGTGAAAGTCTACATTGATATTATGCATCTGCCTCCAGCCCAAGGCTATCAGTATATTGTATTAGCTAGAGATGAATTGTCTTGCTACATAGAAGGAAGACCATTAAAAGCACCTACTGCCAGGGCTCTTAGCAAATTCTTTTGGGAAGATCTTTATTGTAGATATGGAGTCATAGGACAGGTAACCACTGATAATGGACCTGAGGTTCAAGGTGCATTTTTAGCCCTCATGTAGAAGGTGAACATTCCACATGTCACAATTTCACCCTACAATTCCTAAGCTAACAGAGTAGTTGAAAGAGGATATTTCACATTGTGAGAAGCATTAGTCAAAGCATGTGGTGATAACATTATGCAATGGCCCCATAAGATCCCTCAAACTTTATTTTCAGATTGGGTAACTACAAGCTGAGTAACAGGCTTCTCTGCATTCTACCTTGTTCAAGGAGTGCACCCAGTATTACCATTTTCTTTAGCAGAAGTCATGTTTATGATAGATGGATTTACAAGTGGAATGACTTCAGTTGACTTGCTAGCACTTTGAATACACCAGTTAGAAAAATGCCCGGATGACTTGGAGCAAGCTACAGAAACACTAAAGAACACTAGGTTCAAGTCAAAGGAACAGTTTGAAAGATGATATGCAATTATGGTTAAGAAAAGAGGCTTATCAGCCAGGAGATCTGGTACTAGTATGTAATACCTGCATTGAGAAAGAACTAAATCAGAAGACAAAACCCTGCTATCTTGGCCCCTTTAGAGTAGAACAGAGAACTTAGGGAGGGTCATATGTATTAAGTGAAATGGATGGAACAATATCCAGAAGGGGAATAGCTGCTTTTAGACTCTTGCCTTATAGATCAAAAAATTCACGGCAACTACAGAGACTTGCCCAGAGGCATGAGGATGCTGAAGAGGAAAACTTTGTCCATGACTCTGATAGATCAGTTAGGTAGCAACAAGGAACCATTCTATTCTCTGGAGCAGTTGAGAGTGTGGTGTCAGAAGGTTCACATAAACCTACTCCATATTACCGCAAATTGGATAGGTCACATATTAGAAAAGCACACACAACCAGACAGAAGTGAACAAAATATTCTATTAGAACCAGGGAACACATATCTCTCCAATCCACCAAGATTGGTGAAGATGAGGAATCTAAACTGTGGTGAAAGTTGGTGCTAAGCTAAGCAAACACAGATAGACCTGGGCATGAGTGAAAATGTTGACCCAAGGGCAGCTGTCTGGGTAAAGGAAAACCTCTCTTATAAAAAAAGGGACACCAAACTAGAGATAGAGTAATAGGACTAATAAAGGCACAAAGTGTGAGGTGAGAGCGATGTGATATACAATATGTGGATGCACGAGTGCGAAAGGTGAAGGGTGAGGTGCGTGATGCAAATGTAGTGTGCGCTGAAGATGAGGAAAACTGTGGGGAAAGTTGGTGCTAAGCTAAGCAAACACAGATAGACATGGGTGCGAGTGAAATCGTCGTCCCAAGGGCAGCTAACTGAGTAAAGGAAACCTCTCTTTGTAAAAGAGGGACACCAAACAACTAATGAAGTACTAGGGCTAAGTAACGCGCGAAGTGGAAACAATGCGATGTATGGAAGGCGAATGCATGCAATGACGCTGTAACGATGGTCGCAGCGCTGGGCTCAGAACCAGCTATTCTGATACTGATGTCAAACAGTATTTGTCCGATGCACTTCCGACTACCCCGACCCAACGCACTTTCCGACAGTCCGACGCATGTCCGATCCCAACCCGACATTCCCGCGCATCGCACCAGTCCTCCCTATGTCCTGTCCAGTCGCATCTATCCCCACTAGGTGCACATTTACTCCTTTTGACTTGCTAAGCATTGTATACAGTGTTATTACATGTTTTCTCATGGTCCGCAGTACCACATGTCCTATTACATAGGATTTCGGACCCAAAATATCGCTACTACTCTCGCCTATAGCAGTCCAAATTTCTACATAGTCACTATTTAATATCTAGTACTTCCTACCTATTGACTTACTTACTTTTCCCTACTCAGTAGTAGGATGGAAGTCATTGGATATTAGTAGTACTTTATTGTATTGTGAAATATCTATCTGCTCTTTTTCTCCAAAACATTCCAACACATCCGACATTCATTCGAGCGACAATCCAACACACTTCCGACACATTCCTTTATCATCCAACGCATTCACGACAGTCTGACACATAGTCCGACGCCCGACCCGACCCCGATATTTTTGGACCCGACAGTTTCCCTTCGGACAAGTAGTTCTTAGCTTCGGATTAGCTTCCTACTATTGATAACTAACTATCAAAACTAATACCAAACAGCTACCCCTATAGGATCGAACGCACTTGCTCTGCAAGTATAGCAGACTAGGTCGTGCTAAAGATCTACCTAAATATTTGTTGTCTAGGTAGTACAATTTCTGCTGATCCCAGCGGGAATCAGCTTTCTACAACACGCAAGTGTGAAAGGTGAAGGTTGAGGTGCGCAATGTGAAGGTAGCATGCGCAAGCGAAGGCGAGAGACAAGCAAGCAAGAGAAGCAAGAGAAAGATGAGACAAGACGAGTGTTAACACCCCAACTAAGGTTGGGTGATGCCTAAGACGGAGACCGAGAACCAAAGTGTGTGACTGTAGATAGTCACTTGCAAACAATGAGTAAAATTCTTAGTATCTAGAGACACAGAAAGTGGGCAGAAAATCAACCCCGAAAACAGAGTAAAGAGATAGTATATGTAAAGATGGCTAAGTGCCGCTAGGTGCGCAGGTCTGATGTAGCGAGCCGAGTAAGCTAAATATAGTACACGAGATAGGTAATAGGGTCTCGGCTGCGCACGTAGCACTAGGCCGAGATTTGGCGATGGAAACAATTAGTCAAAATGGGAATATAGTGAGAAAACACACCAATGGACATCTAAGGACATGGGGAGGACAGATGGACAGGTATGCGGACGATGCTAATGCAGATGCATGGTGCACGTGAAGTGCGAGTGGCTGCGCGCAGAATCTGCAAAGTAAAATATATGAAGTGCTACTGTGCAAGACGTATCCTTGGGATTAGAGCTGGAGTGTGTAGGGAATGTGGGAGAATTCGAGGGAAGTGCCTGTGGAGGCGCGAGGCTCTACACCGAAAATGTATTTACATGTGAATACTGTATGTGTTGTATAAATAAAACTAAGCAAGCAGCTTGTGTTTCATGCAACAAATGCTCTTCTGGATGTTCCATTAGCTTGGACAATGTGTGTTTTCTAATCTAAAAAAACATTACCCACAACTGAACTTCTCCCTGCTCAATTTCTCTAAGGTGTGCTTCTGCATTCTGGGCCTACTGTTACGACTTGGATGGTATCTGTTGGCGACGCTCAAACAGAGCGCGTGTTGTCAACGGTTGAGGACATCCTTGGGCTAGCCCAAGGTTAGGGGTCTTACTTGGCGAGGCTTGGCAAGTAAGATTTGACGCCTATGTCCAAATCGAGTAGCTTATGTCAAGCGGGTGCGAGACAATAAGCTATATCGGCCAAGGCTTACGACACCCGAAGGTTAATCATAAGATCGTCGTTAATTTAGAAGGACAGAAGTCCGACTAGTTAACAGGGGCTTTGCTCGTCGACAAAGTCGATGAGTAAAGATCGAGACTATAGGCTTATCCGCAAAGAGCAGATAAGAAGATAGAATATAGACTGCTGGCGAGGCAGAAAGGATCACTCTGGTGAGAGTAGGAGGTCAAGAACCAAGTAGATTCAAGTTAGGGAATATGTTACATGGTAGCGAGTTTATATAGAGGATAGGAAGCGTATTAGTGGATGATAACTCGTACTACCAAGAGAAGTAAATGGTAAAGGGTATGACCATAAAAGGAAGGCACGTTCAAGGTGAGACACGGGTGAGTCCTGAACGTGCGGATAAGAAAGTGAGTCAAAGATCAGAATAAGAAGTGAAACACGCAGGGGCACGATCGTGCAGCTGCGGAGCTAAGTATAGGTGGCATGTGCGACTGCGCACCGAGTCAGAGATCAAGAAAGGAAACAGGGCAAAGGGGATGCGTCGTGCATTATATCATAGGTTACCGTCCAGACGGTAAGGGCAAGGGGACTGTCCACAGGATCAGTCAGGTGGTGGAACGGAGCATGGGTATGCTTCGTCAGCGAAAGGATCT